ATTCCCGAGTTCTGCGTCCGCCATATTGGATTATCTCCCTTCACATAGTTATATTTGAAAGTCGTCGGTCATATATGAAAGTTTGGAGATAAAAATAAAATAAAATGAAATAAATTTTGAATGTTTTAATCATCGGCTATTCACGCTAGCATTACAGTGAATCTAATTTTTTTTCGTTTCCCGTCGTTCGAATAGTGATGGTCGTACTATTGGTCAGGGCTATAGTAGTGTCTGAATTTCTGCCTCATTTTGATGATGTATCTGTGGAATTCAATGAGTCCGGAAGTTTTTGGGCGGTATACAATTATGGTGAGTAATGAGTGAAGACTTTTCTGTAACAAGCCAGTCATTAAATTTGCCTACCACAACCTTGATGGATTTTTGATTAAGGGTCACAATGCTTATATATTTACACTTTTCACAAATACATCTACAAAATGATCAATGCAAGCTGAACCTAAAGTGTGACCATGATATCCGATGAAATTCACAGAAAATATGTGAATATTATCTATGATCAGTTAGTTATTCAGTGCAGAAGAAATGAGTGTGTATGTGACCCCAATTACATCCAACAATCTATATCCATTGTTGTCATGATATATGGTACAAATACCATGGTCTACAGTCTTTTTAACCCTTGCCAAGACATCTAATGCAGAATGACCCAGTCACCAATTGCCATGCCCATTCCATGCCAGATGACCACTGGAAGTTTGTTTACATTTCAACTGTATGGAGTCTAGAAATATCAGAAATATAAAATATAGGCACATTGTGAGGATAGACCAATCTGTTTCTTTTCTTAAGCCACTTACATCAACAGAAAGACATTTTGTAAATTTATAAATATTTCTTTGATACATTTTTTGACTAAGCTATGCTTTTCATGCATCTCACTGACAATCGTAATTAGATATTCCTAAAAGGTGGCAACGGTTTTATTAACAGTGGTTCCTTATCAGTCTGTGTTAATAATGAATTGTTTTTTATATATACATTTAGGTCTTTAAGCTGGCCTTTTGAAATTGAACTTGAAATTAGATGATCTACAATATGAAAAAATTAACTTCAAAATTCAATTGTAATACAAATTTTAAATGCATAACATTTGAATTGCAATTGTTATTATTGAAATGTCAAACCAACGCTGAGTATCAAGACCCTATATAGCAGAGATTGTTAACACTATCTACACCCTCATACAACACACCCTATCTACACCCTCATACAACACACCCTGTCTACACCCTCACACAACATACCCTATCCACACCCTCATACAACACACCCTATCTACACCCTCATACAACACACCCTATCTACACCCGCACACAACACCCCATCTACAACCTCATACAACATACCCTATCTACACCCTCATACAACACACCCCATCTACACCCGCACACAACACCCTATCTACACCCTCATACAACATACCCTATCTACACCCTCATAGAACACAACCTAACTACACTCTTACACACATTTGATCTTCACCATCAACACATACAGTGATCACAGATGAAGAGCTATATGTACCAATGGCTTCCTATCAAAGCATGCATGCAGTGGTGTTTACTTTCATTCTTTTAAAGATATATTGTCTGTTTTAATACCATAGTTGAATCAGTTTCCATGCAATATTTTTCACATCTGTTTGAATTAAACACTGACCACAAAATTCAAGAATAATACTGACAGTTATCTGAATAAAATATTACAAAAACACTTAGCAATATGTGTAAACAATGGTTCAGCGACAAAAGTTATAATTATACACAATGTTTCAAGTAGACTGTAAATGCAGTAACAGAAAGGCTAAAACTTACTTTCAGGAATAAATATACTAAGTTTTCTTTCTTACCAGGAAAAGTTTGTATGTATATATCTATAGTATACCAGCAACATGCAATGTATTAACATACACATGGAGATTCCTGGTTGCAGGCCTCCTGTGTCCACCTGTCATACCAGCACGGTTTCTCTGCCCCACAAACACTGATCTGTTCCATCGCAAAATAGTCATATTACTACCACTGCTTTTTCTGTAAATTTCTTTTGAAACATGAGTCATGTTTTTGATATTTTCATTTGAAATATTCCTGTAATCTAGCTTCTGCAATACCTCAATTTTACATGATAAATTTGAATATGTCTTGCTGGTTTTAATAAAACTCTGTTATTATTGGATTTGATGTTGTCTTACTTGTTACATCAACAGCCATCTTACAGATTTATCATTTGGTTCAGTTGGTTTTTTTTCACTGCCACAAAAAAACCTGCAATTATTTTTATATGTACACGTCTACAGATATAAATATATCTAGAGTGCAGGATTTCACAGCAATTATTCAATTTGAACAAGACAATGTAGGACTAGAGCAGATCACTTATATTTCACAATTTGATACACTGAAACTGTATCTATATATTATTTCAGTTTCAAAAAATGATGGATTCCAAAATATAAATTTACTATTTCCTGTATAAAAGTCCTACCAACAGTAATTCAAATAGCTTTATATTCTGTCTAACCAATTGATAAGTGTGCAGTTATCCATCATAGAGGAAAATGAAACCAAAACATTAAGAGTTTGGAAGTTGTTGGAGAAAAATGCTCCCATTCACCAGTGAGAAATCCCGTCAATAAAACAAGATCTGTTCTTCGGATCAATAGGATTTGCAGAGGTTCTGGTCACGGCATTGGTAACACAACCGCGTAGAGCTCTTACAAGTCAGGTGAAGGCCATCCTATCTCTCTCACAGATAACTTACTTCAGGATACCATTAAGACATGTTTTCATGAAAACTCCATCAGGTCTGGACATGTAGCATTTCTCATCAGAAAGAATCACAGCGGTACATGTTGAGTCATTCCAAACCCATAAATAAAACAAAATTAACATTATTTTCTGGTAACATCATACAGAAAATTGGTCAGAAGGTGAGAAAAGGAATAAATGAAAAAAAGACGATCAAAATGGAAAGGTTGAATTAAATGGTTATCAAATCAGGGTTATATAATGTCTAGGAAATAGCTTACGCAGTGTGGAGAAAAGGCCTCTAGAAACACACCACAAGCAGAAAAAACAAGAGTATTTAGTAAGAGCAGATGAAAAAAAATTCTCAGGTCTTATCAGTGAGAAAGTGGAGATAGGAGTTGGTCAATATTTTGGTCATCAATGCCCAAAAAGTAGAGTTATTGCCCCTTGAACAAGAGTGCTACTAATTAGCTGAGGGGTCTGACTTGAACTACTGACTTAATCTCTTTATAGGGGGTCAGTGTGGATAAGTGCACTGTCCAATTTAAATATGGTGGCTAAGAAAGTTTCTGGTTTTGAAATGCCATTGACATGTGTCATGTAACACAAAGGTATTTCCCTTACACAATGTCACACTCAAAAGCTATGCATTCTGTTGTAATATAGGTTGACAGCTTCAGCACCAATATGCACAGACTTGTCCCACAGTAATTAGCAGATGACAACTGATGGAAGATCCTCACAAATAATGCTAGTGTAATATTAATCACAAGTATCAATATTTTTATTTTCCAATGACTAGTAAGAAAAACTTCAGTTAACAAATGTATATAATGTAAAAAGATCAGGAAAATGTGGCTAATTACACTGCCCCAAGGACACATAATTTTCCTAAGGTGAACCCATACCCAAAAGTTCCAGTGACAAGTAATGTAGGAGAGAGAACATTCACACACTTTTTCCTTGATGTAGATCAAAGATCAAATTGAATGTCAGAAAGACCTACAAATATGTACTTTTAAAACATGACAAACCACCTGACCAACGGCACTCCATACCCACAAATATGAAGTTCTAGTGACAAATAGTGTAAGAGATAGAGCCCAGACTTTATTTCATGTAAATCAAAGGTCAAAGTGTAGGTTAGAGCAACCTGCTTTAAAAAATGACACACCATCTCACCAAGGTGAACCCATACCCTGGGTATGAGTTCCAGTGACATAAATGGTAGGGAATTGAGCCAGGAGAAGACAGTGGAAGAAGGATGGAAGGACGGATGGATAGATGGATGGACACAACACAAAACTAAAGGCCATTTCCAATTTCCTTCATTCCCAATGAGATATTAACAATGATATCCTGACTAAATTATGGGAGTATGAGTCTTTCATAAGACTTAAATTAGACTCAACATCAAGACAAAACAGAAGGTCAAAGGAGACCACCTACTTATTCATCAACACAAGAAGAACAGCAGTAGAATTGACAAGAAAATGAGAATGGTAGAGAAGGAAGTGAAGTAGCCTGTAAACTCTATGTGTCCTGGCTGTAATTTTATGATAACATGAATAGAATTCTAGGAGCTGCTAAATTTAAGTATTGCTTTACAATATATACCACTAAGATGGTGTAGTGGGGAATTTGCCCCTGGAAGATCTTATTATCTGCGTTTTATTTATCATACAACAGAAAAAATAACAAAAAAGAAAATAAACCATTTTTTAATGTTTACCATTTATTATCACATGGCTGTAAAAAAATGTTCAAATGACTTCTGTCTTAAAGTCTTACTGATATGCTCCTTGTCAAAACCTATTGAGGAATGGACAAAGGGAAATAATTCAAATATTATCTGTGAACACAATGATGCATTTCATTAAGAGATATATACAAAATTATGACAAGTCAATGTTGTCTGCAAACACATTAGTGATCTACAATGTTGGTCAAGGTCAAATTTATTTGGCTCTTTTACTTTTAAGAAGGGAAATGTTACCTTTCATTTTTCAAACAGCATTGGACTTATCCCAAGAAAGGCAATGGGGGGAGGGGGTTAGATTATTTGACCTCTGTGACCTTAAAAAAGGGGTCAATGTCCTTCAGGTAAGTGAGCAAAGAAAACAAGACCATGTCTTATTAGGTGTAAAATATAAAATATCACAAAAACATCCTTTTGGTAACATAAGCACAATTTCCAAAAGGATAATCTGTTATTTAAGAAATTTGCATAGTTTTATACCTTTTTACATATTATACACAAATACATATAGAAAATATTTAAAACAACCTTTTCTTTTACAAACCTTGAAACATACTGTATGATAAGGGTTAAACAGTTTGTTTGATTAACTAACCTTTGTAATGACAAACTGTCATTATGACAATCATTATACAAAGGACAATCACACAATTTAAGGTAATGTACAATTAACCACAATGATTGGCTCAAGTCATGTTCAATCAAATTACAACAGAAGAACCTGTGGAGTGTTACCAGGACCTCTAATAACATGGAAATTGACATTCAGACTCATGATAATCTGTATACTTCCCTCAGTACAATCACACGTAGGAATGAGTATGCATGTACATATCACAATTTAATCATAAAAAAAATCCTGATATTTTCCAGAAATGAATACAAATAATTGGTAACATTTATATCTGCATATTTCAGTATAGATGGGTCAAATTACCTGTTGATTCCTAAAAAATAATGACAAAAAAGGTTCTACATATGCGCTGGAGTATTTCAAAGATGGGAGTAATACAAACATCCATACCAGAAGTTACTGCTGACTGCTTCTCTCTGGCATAGTGAGTATATCGAAGATTGATACTAACACCTTTACAGAGTTACCTCCCATTTTCCCTCTGTGACTTAGGAAAATATATCGACGATGGAGCAATGCAAACATCCTTGCTCTGAGCTAGTTGCCAATTTGTCACTCTGATTTGGGAGTATATTGATGATGAAGTGACATCAACACCCTCACATAGAACTACATGTACTTCCCATCTCTTGGCTCACTACTGGTTACCGACTAGCTAATGATACTAAATATGGATAATTACACACACATGTATTACATCTTAATTAAAACTTATTACAGACAATACAAAACGAAAATGTATAAAACATCATTATAATAGTTGGCAACAAGGTAATAACTTCGCAAGAGATCACTTCATATACAGTAAAACATATATTTTCATAGGGCTCAATTTTCGTGGTTTCCCAAAATACTATTCTATTGCTTATAATTTCAATAGTTTGTGGAAGTAATCGTGAATTCATGGATACATATTACCCATGTAATCAACAAAAATAAATCATCAACACAAATTAATTATCTTAAAGTAAACATACTGGAATGTCTAACAATGTCATATCTAATGTTTATGTAGAAGCTTTGGCATTTTAATAAAGCTGCTATTCACGTACCATATCACGTGCAATACATCAGCTGGATCAAGTAAACGTTTAAATCAGTGCTACACTAGTATAGATAGAGACAGACCTTCCAATAATGTTACAGCCTTGAAGATTCAGTCAAGGCTAGTCTGACAGTGACAGTTAAAATAAGATCAGTAGGTCCATCCTTATGTCATGAACCAATATTGACCCTACTCAAACTGATTAAACTGGTAAATCAAAATGGCCCAGTTTCCTTATAGGGACATAAGAATTAGGTATCATGACAAAAGTGAATGTACTACAAACGTCCGCATGAATGGAACACTACATTCTCTTATATCATTTGTCCTTCCACTCAACATAATCCTGATTTGTTTTCAAACCTCATACATTTACATACAACACAGCTATTTCAGAACTCATTAGAGGCAAAATACAACTTTAAAATGATGTGGGACTGTTCAAACATATTTCAATTTACTGTTCATAATTGTTCTTTAATACAGATAAATTAACTATTAAAAACAAAATTGGAAAGCACAATTCACAACCTTCTCTTTAATTACAGACACAACACCTACCAGACAATGAACATTGTCATGTATACTGTAACCATACAAATCAATAGTTAGAAATACAAGCAATACATGAATACACTTTCATGACACAGGCATTCATTGAAATGAGGAGTTACTTTTAAACTTATCAGTAAAATGATCAATAGTTTGCTTTTTGTTCACACAAAGAAAACATATTGTGACTAAAACATCTGTAAACAAAAATTATCACAGCTGATAAATTATATCAAAGTTTACAGGTGTTATATTGTTACTTTATCTCTTTATCTTACTTTTAGTAACATGTTGTTATATGACATAATATGGCATAATAAAATAAAAGGCCAAGCTTCGTAAAATATTTTAAAATGCCCTGAAATGAGAAAAGTGAAAAAACGTCACTAGCAATCCGATCTGTTCACAAATGAAAAAAATATTTATGAAAATAAACCTTCTGTTCACAGTTCCTCTCCATGTTTGTGATGAGTCTGCAATGATCCAACATCAGCATTCTGTATTAAGTGTTTGTAGAAGTTAATAGCTTGTTCGTAATTATTTACAGAAAGGCGTTCATTATTCCCGTGGAATCGTGGGATATCGTCAGGAAACATGAACGTGGGACTAAACCTGTAGATGTTGTGGGTGAATGGAGTGTAGTGAATGGTGTCCGTGTTGCCAATCATAACTCCTGTTCAGAAATAAAAGGTAAACCTACTAAAACATTGGACAGGTGAAGTTCTCTACAAAATTTACCTATCAAAGACTAATTATTTTTTTCGGTGCAGCTTCCTTAAAGACATCTACTCTCTGTATAATAAATTGCGATTGTTTGACTCATATCAGTCTTAAATTTCCTCAAAGCTATAATTGAGATTTCAGGTGAGTGAAAAACAGTTTAATAGTACAATTTCTCAATATAATCAAATTGTGAAAGACTACCTGATATACTGTATATCATCTTTGAAACAAAATAAACAAAGAAACAAAATTTACAAATGTATATACTATAGTATCGCATGACTTATAATATGCCATACCAAGATTTCAACACGTTTTACACAAGGACGGGTCTTAGGTAAAGTAGAGGGTTCATAAAGTGCATTTAGTATATCACTAGGTTATCACTACATTAAAGGGACATTTCATATTTTGCAACCCTACAACGAACTTCATAAAAGTTAGCAATTCATGCAACAATTATGACAAATGTTCTGTTAAGAGTTTAGTGCGATACAAAGTATTCTAATCTGTCTGGCAAGACAATGAAGCCATATTGACAAACAATGGCTGCATGTGTGCTGTGACAAGCTGAAGCCAAAGTGAGATAGAACTTCACATATTTAGGTAATTTCACTACATTGGTTACTTACTATGATTAAGTTGTGACTACCTAATAATTGCTTTATGATCGTTAAATCATTTGATGCTCAAACACACAGATAGGCCCACTGAGTGACACATTGAGAGAATTTACATAGACTACACAGTCAAGGTCTTTAACTTTTGTAGCAATGCTATGAGGATTCAACAGTCATTTAAGTTCTTATTAAATCAAAAAAAGGGATATCGTCAGATTAAAATGAAATGCTGGTACATGTATTAGCGGTGTAAGATGAACTTCCCAGTTATACATGTACTACAGTTACATGGTAGACAGAGAAAGGCCTGACAATACTTCAGAAAGTGGGCATGATATCATTCAATGTGTGCTTTCATTCAGCAAGTTATTATTGAAGCCCAAACATATCTAACACATAATAGAGTAAGAAAATAGGCACAAATTTTGTTTATGAATTTGTGGCTTTTCGTCTTCAGGGTTTGTCATAACCTGTTACACATCCCAATTCTACCGCACTGATTCTTTTAAAAATATCCAATTAATAGAAACGATTCAATAATACAGTTCATATATTTCCACATCTATGATTGAATATTTCTTTCAAATCATTTAGATTTTCCATAACTTTCAATCTGGGTCATCATATTGTTCATCCTATTGCACCTTGGTAATCCAAGGAGAACTAAATAGCTCCATGGTGAGTGTCTAATTTGATATGCAATATTCACCATATTCTGATTTTGCCTGCCAGGAAACATAAGCTAATATTTTGTGTACCAGGGAAACATGCTCATATATTGTGTGCCAGAGAAACATAAGTTAATATTTTGTGAGCCAGCGAAACATAAGCTAATATTTTGTGTACCAGGGAAACATGCTCATATATTGTGTGCTAGGGAAACATGCTCATATTTTGTGTGCCAGAGAAACATAAGTTAATATTTTGTGTTCCTGGGAAACATGATCATATTTTGTGAGCCAGGGAAACATAATTTAATATTTTGTGCTCCAGGAAAACATATGTTCAATTATTTTGTGTTAGGGAAACAAATTGCTGGAATTTTGTTTGTCAGGGAATTTGCTGATGTTTAACATATCCTTGTAAATGAGTGGATTTTTACTGGCCTGAATTACAAGTCCTCTGTGTGTGTATGGGTTTGAGAGATGCCATCTTTCTCACTGTTTTGTATTAAGTGAACATAGAAGTTGATAGCTTGTTCAAAATTTCTAGTCGATATGCGTTCGTTGTTGCCATGGAATCTTTTCAGATCTTCTGGATACATAACGCTAGGGCTGAATCTGTAGATGTTACGTGTGAGTCGAGTGTAGTATTTGGTGTCCGTGTTTCCTATCATTACTCCTGAAATGTCAACAGACTGACTGAAATAACAAGTACATTCCCTCATCTTCCAATACTTCTTATCCATAATGCACTGCAAACTGCTGCCTAATGTTCAAATCATGTATAATATAATGATATCAGTAGTCTGTTATTCATCCAAACTGGCCTCCACCATAACAAGGTAAAAACAAGTACATCAGTATCTCTATATGGCCAAGAGTTAATTTGACCCTTCAACCTGAAGACTTCCAAAAACATACAACACCACACCAAGGTATAGCTCGATCAATAAATTTGTTTTTAAGGGTGGATATGTTGTATACAATCTATATACTTAAATTCACCTTGGTCGTCAATTATACTTCATTCTATAATCAGGCAGAGAAAGATACTACATCATACCACAGCATAAATAACTAAACCTGGTGAAGAAGTTAACGGGATATCTTATACACTAACTTTCACCATAGAGGGTCTAAGCCAAATGAACGGATATTACTAGAAAAATACTTCCCATCTACCAAGTAAAGTGTATATATCTACAACGTACACAGTTGATGATTTCCTAATACATAATATAAGTTCCATCCAACAAAAGGAAACAGTGATTCGGAGGAAGTTAGTAAAAATGAAATTAAAAACAAACGTGAACAACATGCACATGCAAATTATTGTTAACATTTTAAATATATTTCTCACTTAATGAAGCACTGGTATTTAGCTTACTGAATGTATTTAAAATGTTATTTATACTAAATATCAAGTTCAATGTTATTACATTGAAATGAGATCCTTTTGATGGTAAACTTGAACATTTTAAATGATACATGTATAACGTTTTTATATCATGTATCAATTTTAACTGTACTTTATCACATTTCTCAAAAAGATATTGAAATTCATCATTTTAGGTTTATGACCAGAAAGGTAATGTATCCTTAGTTTACTTAAAATACCTTACCTGGAGCCACAGCGGCCTCTGTCCAGACTTGTCTGATGCTGGACTTTACCATCTGGAAGCCAAAGTCATAGTCCCCGTAGGGCGACATAGGGAGGGGCTCCATCGATGACTCAACAGTGATCTTGACACGGTCATCTCCAATTAACTGCCGGTCAAAATCTATCACCTAAAAAAAATCAATCTTAATTTTACATCATATATTGCTTATTTGCTTAAAAAAATAATCAGTATATTTAGAATATCTTTCTCAAGGTCACATATATTGTCTATGTATCTGATAATAAAAGTACAGATTAAAAATTTTAGTCACACATTTGGCACAAAAAGTATAATGTTATATTTAATCTTCAAAAGTCTTGAATGATGCACATCAAACATAAGCTTACCTGCTGTATTGACTGAGCAGGATGGAGTCGGTGATTAACATAAGCCGTCACCTCAGGAGGTAATACATTTACCTGGAAAACAGTGAACATGATCTTCTTAGCCGGTACATTTTGTACCAGAATATCAAATCATCAAACAATGCTAGCTTCATGTTCTAAAGGTTGAGTATATAAATGTATCATGATTACCATCAATGACAGACTTCATATTCACAGCCAGTGATACTGATATTTAACCTTTACACTCATATTTACGTGTAATATTACCTTCACACCTCCATTTATCATGGTGACTGACGTAACCGTGCGGACAATGGCATTAGTGGAAGGCTTCTTTGACAAAAACCTTTAAAGTAAACAAAATCTAGGGTACAACTTCCAAAACAGCAATAATTAGGCTACCTTAGCCAGACCAAGAATACAGAAAGGTCTGATTATCAATCAACCAGCTAATAGATACAAACACATATCATCAACCAATCAGATATTAGTTACAAACAAATTTCATCAACCAACCAGATATTAGTAACAAACAAATTTCATCAACCAATCAGATATTAGTAACAAACACATATCATCAACCAATCAGATATTAGTTACAAACACATGTCATCAACCAACCAGATATTAGTTACAAACAAATTTAATCCACCAATCAGATATTAGTTACAAACAAATATTATCAACCAACCAGATATTAGTTACAAACAAATATTATCAACCAACCAGATATTAGTTACAAACAAATATTATCAACCAATCATATATTAGTTACAAACAAATATCATCAACTAACCAGATATTAGTTACAAACAAATAGTGTATTTCATGTATACTGAATGAACAACATCAGAGGTCAATTCAAAGAATGAAAAGTTATAACAACAAAATGGTGTACTTAACAAAATATTACATACAACAATTACAGATGAAAAGATTTTATAAGTCTTTATTCATACATGTATATCTGATATATTGCAAAAAGCCATGAATTAGGAAATATTTGGCATAACAAATAAAATTATTCAAGCAATCAAGCAGATCAGTGTCACTCTTTAATAATTTAAGTTAAAATGCCAACAAGGCCAATTAATGCATTGAAATTAATCTTAGGATGTACAGACAATTTAAATGGCCTTCCACTCCTTATTACACACTAACTTCAAATGAATGTGTGCACTATACGAGATCCTACACATGCTGCCTTAAGACGTGATCAGTAATAGTGAAATCAGACCATATATTTAGGTAGTAAATAAGCTCTGTGTTCTAGTATACTTACCATGATATGATGGGTTTAAACAGCCACAAATTTGACATCACTACCCGAAATGGCCACTTCATCTATAAATACAATATTTTATCACTGAGAATACCAGTAACTCTGGCTCACAGTTTCATTACCTTGAATACACAGTTTAAATCGATGTGATTTGATTCAGGGAATCTTTCATAATGCAAATTATTACAGTATATTTTAATTCTGTTGCATATAATCCACTCTTACAGTTGCTTTTCCGCAGTTCAAATTTTTCAGTTTTATCAAAAGCTTAAAGTCTACGAAAAGCATTTTCATGGAATATTGTTTATTTTTTCATCTATTGATTTTCATATCATTTTGTTTGCTTGTTTTTGTTTTTATTCCATCCTCAAAATTTAGAACCCGTAAGATTTAACAACTTTTACAGTATTGAAATATTATGCCTATTTACACTATACTTAGAAATCTGAAGTCATTTTGACTTTGAAGTCAACTGTTCCTTCAATGTAAGTATCTCAAAACAAGAGGCCTAATGGGCCTATAGCACTCACGTCTTATTGTGACATGTTATTGTATATTTGTTTCCTGATAAAATGGACAGATTTGACAAATTAATTGTTACTTCTCTGACTCATATCATATTTTATATTCATGTATACTTAGACATTCAGGAACACCAACATGTGAAGCAAGATGCTGGAAAGTGTCTATCTCAGGTCCTTGTCCAAACATGCTGGGATGGCAGTCTGTTGTCAGTCTGTAAATCATACCTGGACATATGAAATTTCAGCAATTTCATTCCATCAAATATTGGTCTGTAAGACTGCAAGAACTAAATAGGTGTTATACTCTACAAGAGAGAGTGACATGCTGCATGGTGACAGACAGGATAAGACACAGCAAAAACATAACAGGAGTTGAACAGACAGGTTGCTTTGAGAATCAAATGTTTAATCAAAAGGCATGAAATAATACATTATTGATCAACTTTCTCCACTTTACAATAACATTTGTTCACATCCAGTAAGACATAAGAGAGAGTACTACAACTATGAAATTCATATTTTAATGACTAGATATGGCACTAACCATGAAGAGCTACTATCATGGTTCTATATGGAGCCTACACTATTTAAAGTAATATCTAAATGTTTGCATTTCCTCTTGTGATAAGACTCGAAAATCAAAAGAAACATCTATATATAAGAGGGACAGGAATAACATGTAGACTATTAAATATAGTGACTTTGAATATATGTGTTAATAAGAAAACAGCTTCCCAAGGAAGTCTAATTTACTTTTGCTAGAATAACATTTCCCTACACAACAGTACTACTGAAGTGGGTATGCTGGTTTTCAGAAACCAATCAATCTACATTCAACACATCAGTAATGTTGAAGTCCAGAGAACTGTACCAGCTAGCATCCAAAGTTCATATGACTGGCATTTAACAAACCAATCAAACCCTGTGTCTTACTTTGAAATAGCATTAGCCATTATTCCAATGCTTGTTTCCTTAGTGGGCATGGAGGAATGACCTGTGTCCCATTTGACGTTTAACTTCAGGGTCAGATAGCCTTTCTCTGCCGTACCTATCCTGTGGAAGATACAATGTACATGATACATACTAGTTACAGGTCATCCCAGTATTACAAATTAAATACTGTGGTTCAATTCTTCTGTTTCCCATTGAAGTATATGAATTATGCGACAATCAGCCAAAATGTGGTGGTAAGCCCTCACAAATCTCTTTAAAATTCAGTAGCAATGAGCCGCAAAATGTGATTCCATTGTCCTGAAATCACGCGCCAGCCTGCTTGAGTCAAAGGATAAGTGTTGGCTTTTCAGCCTTACTCAGATAGTGACAGTCCTTGAATCCATCTTTCCAGTAACATGGATATCAATAAATATTTTAACAATCAAGAGTACATATGACAACATGTGTAGAGGGTATTTCACATCAGAAATACTTACAGTGCCACAGGTCTATCTATCCCTGGTATAACATTGTTTACAATGGTCAGTCCTTCATCCACTAGAAACTCCAGCTTGCGAATACCTCGTGACCACAGCAGGTTACTGATAGATCGAGCACCATCTAAACCTGTTACCTGTTCACAAACATAATCATGTAAGATGGAAAACTTCACCATTTGCACCATTTGTTACTGTATGTTTCTTGATATTAGCTGATCATATTTAATACATCATATTAAGATCCAGATGTTTTAAATTATGGAGATAAGCAAATAAGACAGTAAAACTATCTCCAAACTCTGTCGATACTTTGTTATTTATATCTTAAGTGATGAAATTGAACTGCTCATACAGTTGGTAAATTTATTTTTAAGTCATTAAGACACATGGGACAAGCTTTCAGCATCAAATATTCTACTATCCAATGTTTGATAATTGTCAACTTTTGCTTTTGTAGTGTTGCAGTATTTCTCAGGATATTTCCTGAACAAGATGATGTACCACTTGATGGATAGAGTGTGACCCATCAGTCGCAGTATGCCTAGGCAACAAAAAAACCTAAAACAACACAGAACTTCTTATATGGCAGAAAAAAAGCCAATGATTCTTCCTTTCATTCACCTCTTAATAAAAATTTTTAAAAAATCCTGACCTCCACTACCTTAACTTTATAACTAGGTATATCTCATTTCATGTTCCAGTTAGAGGTATTGACTCCCAGAAAACATTTCAACTTACTTGTTTTCTCAAGCTCAAAGTTAAGTTCCTTTAGTATTTGTAGCATGCGACTCCACGAGTTAAAGCTAAACAGGTATATCATCCTCCATTATTTTTTTTTATCCTATCTCCTGTACATATAATTACACTAAAACTAAATAAACTATTTTCTCCTCAGATTTATTGGCTTCTTAATGTCCAGAACCTAGGAATATCCTTTCTTATTTCTACCACAGACTTAATTACCTCCTCATCATGCCCAAAGCCAATGTAGAATGACCGCTGTGGTTTGAACCCTCTAGATAACAGGTGCTCCAACGCCTCCAAAACTCCCTGTAAAGAAAACAAAATCATTCACCAGCACATAAATACATTAGCAAGTCATCTTTAACAATCCCTTTACTTTGTCTTGTATGGACCTCAACAGTATGTACATAGAATAAGTTACAGTCTGCATGAATGATAGTGACAAACATATCTTTTCATTATAATTTGTATAGCTAGTATTGAAGTATTACAGTTGTATATATAATGATCACTTGCAGTATATTTAAATGTTAAATTTATCTTTAGTTTTAGTACATACATTGTATATGTTAACCAAGTCCGCACAAGTTTAGGGGCATTGGCATATTACAACCAGTTACCATCACAATCTAATATACTGTCGCTACCTAGATATCTACTCATGGTTCAGTTTTCTAAAATAATGGTATAATGTAATATACTATTACTTATCAAAAAGAATGTTTTCCGTCATTTATCTACCATCCCTTTTATTCTGTTAGGTTTCCAATTTCTAATGACAGTCTACAGCCTGCTGTATTAGAGAACATCATATTCTATTTTATACTTCTATGTACAGGTAAAATCCGGAGAATTTTTACACCCATTTTACTCAATTTGTATCATGTATTTCCATTGGTTGACATCTAGTATAGATAATTGGCAATATAATTTCACTTAATCCTCTCCCAAAACGGTTGTTCTCTTGTGACATAGGCATTACTCCGACATTTTTACATCCACTATAATAATGGAATCTACTGCAGAAGTAACTCCTTAGATTTATAACTTCATATCATTTCTAGTCTCCAATATTCACCAATATTCTCCAACATGTCAACCTGATCAACATTAGTATAAGGAGACTGGTTGTCTAAATAAGTTCAGTAAGATTAAAAACATGTCTATTGTATTTTGTGAGTAATCTTCAGTATTACTGGTGTTCTTGTGAATACTCGGTTAATCTAAACAGTGTTTATCTACTATTAACCGGAAATTGTCAATAATCAGGAATAAAGTCCAATATATTTCTTTTGGGGTCTGTTGCTGTGGCAAGGTGTATCTGGGAGCAATTTATTACACCATATGAGATAGGTGTGAAAATTGTACACATAATAGATATTGTCTGTTTTGTTGTATTATTAAATGTTCTAAGTTGAATTTTGACTTTGTGTTGTTGATAACCGTCGAGAAGAGTTCTTTACTAGAACAGAGAATCAAGTGTACCAGATGAACCCAACAAACATCATATTTATCAATAAACTGAATAATTAGCTGTGTTACAGCCTAGCTGTATGCAAATAAATATTTCTCTATTTATTCCGGACCAAAGAAAGAAAATGATTTTCAACTTGCCAAAAATTTGCTACTGAAGGAGTATAGCAGCATACTTACCATAACAATGTGTTTGTCATCGATTGTTCCCCTAGCATAGATAAAACCATCATGGATCTCTGCCCCAAATGGAGGATGGTCCCACAAGCTAGGGTCAGCTGGTACAACATCAAGATGTCCTGTTATCATGTATGGGGTGAGGCTGGAGTTCTCTCCCCTGACAGTATATAACAAACTGTGGTTTGCTACATCTTCACAAGTAACAAACGATGAGGAGTGAATATTTGGATAGGCTACAAAATGACATATGAGAATCTCATCAGATGGTATTTTCAAGAAAGTGATTGCAACAATAATATATTAGCTATATGATTTTTCTTAAAGGTACATGAGGAAATCACATTAAAAACTGAACAGTCCATGTATGATGTATGTTTTATTTGAATACTGAATACTGGTATATTCAAATTTACAGACTCAAAAGCTCTACTTTTGTGTATCAAGTGGTTTTGTTGGAGCTAAAATCACTGGGATGTGGTCCAGGGGAGATAATTTTGTACCAGATAAAGTCTAAATGCTAATTCAAAGACCAATGTATATGTAATTAGCTTACATGTTTATATCTAGCTGGCATGTATGTTGTTAAACATGTGCATGGGTGTCATGTTTATCTCCCCTAGCCATTCGGCTTGTTACTCTCGAAAATATTTCAGTGTGTTGTCATGGTGACGTGCAACGCTGTTCAGATTAAGCATTAGTGTAACCAGTAATCCTGCTTCCTACTGTTTACAATTGCACTTCCACTTTCAGTATGGTTTATAGTATGCAACAGATAGCTGACAGAAGGACTTAAGTTTATATTTCCGGTATTTCAAAATGTCTATGGTCAATTACCCGATTTAATAAACGACGTTAACTTCTGGAGTTCTTCTTCGTCGTATACGTGTGGACTTGTGGCTACAGTCCGCATCCTCAACGATCGCCGAAATCTTTCTACTACCGCAGGCGTTGCCTGCACAAAGTCCTCATCACTTTTGGCACAAGGTGTCACGTCGTCTGTCCGCACCGAAAATGTCAATGTTCTTAAAACAATCACAGTTATAACTACACTTAGGACAACAGAAAATAAAGATAGAATACTTTTCAATAAGTGTTGCATCGTGAATGATAACGGGTACTACATGGAGGCCATTAACTCCAGATTGTCACCTTAGTGCGATTCTAAACTGCTTGAAAGTGGTACCGGATGACGGATCCGGAACGATTTAGAAAGTGCATGTGTAATACGACTCTTTGAACTGGATTGATTCTGTTTAACTTTCTATCATCAAAATCAAGTAAGGGTTTAAAACGATATTGGATGATAAGATTTACTATCGTCAGGGGTAGTCATTTGTTGGATTTCGGTCGAAGGGAGATAACTAAAACTGATTAACAGAGCAGATCGCAAAAAATACTTGAGTTTCCATACTAAGAGGGTTACAAAACGCATCCATCCTCAAAGTTTTGATAACTCTGAGATATTTCAGGGTACACTAAAGCATATCTGAAGATGATATTCTTTTCCTCAATTGTAAAATGCAAAAGGTCCTAGGGGCCTGTAATCCACTTTTTTACATTGCATATTTTTCTCTCAGACTTGTTAAAGACATTCGATACATCATTTCCACTCAATAATTATCATTTTGGGTCGATAGCTGAGTAAAACATCCCTACCAGCATCTGTGTAGCTTTATGATATACCGAGACACACAGTCCTCCAATATAATAAAGGTATACTTATATGAAGGAGGAGTATTGTCTATTCCCTTCCATTCTGAGGCAAAGGACAACGTAATTGTTCTATATCTAATTTTATATTGATATACTTTTGCTTGCTAATATATAACATAAAATATTCTCTTCAGTGCACTTCATTTGAGACACAATCGACATCTAATGATAATACAAGTATTAAGTAGAAGTACTTATTGCATTCGTTTCCAACAAGCCAGACTCAGTTATGGTGTCATTTGTTTATAAACGACAACACGCAGCTTCAGATGAATACATGTTGTTCAAACTTCTTTTCCTATAAATGTACAGGTCTTGTATGCATTTGTGAGAGGTAACCAAGCTAGTACATGTCACTTGCGGTGTGGCATCACATACCCATTGTTCAAGTTTTTTACCTGTTGTAGGGTCATTGTTGTCCGTTTTGAACGTAATCAAAACATTTTATTTGGTCTGGGATTGTAACGAGAACGTGTTAGTCCTTGGATGAGGCCATCAGCGTGCTGGTATTCCCATACATGGAAATCAACATCATCGGTCAGATTTCTGCAATGTATCACCAGGTTTGCTTCATTTGATAGGTGCCACATGTGGCGGTGTCTTGGTATCCCATACCAGAGGCGGTCAGCCTAATCCAACTTCTCCTCTGATCATTAAGAGCTCTGCCCAGGAATTCTCCATTGAGAATACCATACCGAAATTCTTCTTACTAGTTGGCAATCTTTTGTGTCACAGGCGACAGATGGGTTGTATAAATGATTCGGAGATGGATGCCTTTACTTATAAAGTCTCCACTGTTTATCGTGGTAATTTCTTGGACCCAGCTTTTTTTTTTTTTTTTTTTGTGTATTGTCTGTTTATTGTTTCCACATCATGATGTGACTAACCTAATTACAAGTATGAAGGCATGTTAGATTCCAAACCAGATAATATGATAAGGTCAAGAACATCCCCGTCTTTTAACAATACTTGTAACTTTCAGGTTTCCATGACATTTTTTAAAAGCTTTCATATCCATAAAGTGACCTATTTTGTCAAGAACATAACCCTCTGAAAGGAAGCAACTCATCGCATTTAAATATTGTCAGTTCTTGTTCGCAATAGGATAACATTTACTTTTCCTGCACTATCCTTTTCTGGACGTATCTATACGTGTCATCAAACATAAATGAAACTTTCTTTCGAAGGACTAATAGGATTTTTATGAAATTTGGCTTAGTAATCCTTTGGCCAAGTTCAATCGATTTCCGTACATATTTAATGAGGCTGCTGTGACCTGATTGACCTTATCACTCTATGGGAAATCTTTCTGCATATTATCTTATGAAGGTATGATAAGATTGTTTTAGGAAACTTGCTTTGTAGACTTATTACCCAATTTCCTTTTTCAGGTTCGATTATAGGCAAATTCTATGGGTATTTCTTGTGACCTGATTGGCGGATATCTTTCGGCACTACTGAATGTTTTCCTCAAGTTATCTTTTGAAGGAACAAATGAATTATGACGAGACCCGCTTCGTAGACTTGTTACCTTAACCCTTTGTTCATGTTTGATTATCGGCAAATTCTGTGCGTATTTAATGAGACTGCTGTGACCTGATTGGCTGATATCTTTCCCAATTTTAAATGAACATTGGCAGGGGATCTTGATGACTATGTTCTTGTGTATTGATGTATTTTGATCTGTCCCAATATTGCCAATTCACAATTAGGGACCAATGGAATCTACGTATGGAATATGAGAATGTTCCCTCTAGAAGCTCTCAAGCAATATTATAAGGATTGTTTTGAGTTTTACAAGTGAAAGTCATTTGGTCAATTGTCAGTTTATCAAATATTTCATCCTTTACTGGTAAAAGTTTTGACAGATAAAAAACCTTTTATGAAAATTTCTTGAAAGCAGTGTATGTAACTAGTGTATGATGGCAAGTTAATGATTCTTTACCATAAAGAAAATAAGAAATGGATAAAAAATAAAAACTTAAGTGTGAAGACTGACAACCCTGGCTCACCCATGTCTTGTTATTTCGTCCCTGTATGGTCTGATGGATGCTTACACTTTTGTATGTTCTGCCGTTCATGAAGCTCTTGATTCACTAAGTTACCTTATGCTGGAAATGGTTTTTCTGTATTCATGACAAACTTCTGTTTTATTATAAACAACATTTTATTTTAACTCTACAGATTCAATATTACAACCATGTTTCTCTCTATAATGAATGACCGGGACATATGTTTTACAATGTAACATCTTAGTGCTTACTAAAAATGTCATGTCTGTATACATATTAGAATATACTTTTTAATCAAAAATATGTTTTGCTGGGAGGTGTAGAGGCCTTTAGACACACTGACATTTGGATACTTAACTTATGTGATATCATCCAAATTGCAGAAATACCTCAGAAATATGGAGTACTGTGCAGCATTCTTCAACATTTAAGTGGTGAAAAAACTATTGTGATATTTTTTTTAAAAAATGAATGTACATTAAGCATTTGAAAAAAAAGTGCCAAAGCATTATTAATATACATACTCCAAAATTCCAACTTAGTATAATGTAATTCGAAAAAAAAAATTAACAATAAATGTATGAAATTATATTTTGATTTTTAAGAAACAATCCAATTCATTCCATTGTTTATCAAAACAGCAATTAAGTCATTTATTTGAAAATTGTCTTATTCTTAATTTCATTCCTGAATTTTGATGCATTGTTACTTTATCACTTTACTGATTCGAACCTGCCGAATCAACAATACATGAATATATAGAAAAAAAACAAACATTAAAAAAAACATATATGCAGGTGATACACGAGTGAATTAATATGAAATGGACAAATTCCTAATGATCATGTGGAAATGAGATATTATGAATTGTCATGAAAATATTCTTTTAGCATGTCTGGACAAGCATTTTGATGTTGTTATTTAAAGGTTAACACTGGATTCCGATATGTGTATCTACAGCATCCAATGATTGCCAGAACCCGAGTACTCCTTGATTTATTCTGTACCTTAATCTGTTCAAGATAAACACTACACGTCTCTGACAATGTGTTCACACAGAATGAACATGATCATAGCATCATGGAAGCTGGCTAAAAGGCCATTCCTTCATGTCTACTGAACACTGATTAAACTAGAATGTACTTTCTATTGTCTTCAGAATCTAAGAGGTCATCAATTTTGTTCTGGACACTAAGCAAACCTGAAATATTTCAATAAAAGTCTAAAAGCTCTCGAGTTTCTGTAAAAATCAAACACTTTTTATCACATTCAAAACATCTCTTTATAGACAAAGTGACATCTGCTGGTCAAACAATACTTCCATGTCTACTGACAAAAAATGGCTGAAGACTGTACTCAACAGATCAAAGGGTTTGTTTCTTTATGTCAAAGTTTACAAGTATCTTTATCGGTAAATTTAATTTCCAGTTTTTCTGTGTTGGGATTCAAGAAATAATGCTTTGTCTGATTTGTTTCAATCCAGACCTCCATGATTTCAATTCAGACCTCCATGAATCCAATCCAGACCTCAGTGAATCCAATCCAGACCTCCATGAATCCAATCCAGAATTCAGGAAGATTCAGATCAACATCCTTCATACTCAACATATTCGTTGAAATAGAACTACCTCCCAGTACAGGTATTTTCAGAGATATCGGAGGACATTTTTACCACATATGATATAACAGGTAAATCAAAACAAGTGGATTTACAATAACTTCCAAACCAGTAACAGCAGTGCTCAACAGTTTACACACATTAGCAGAAATTATCCACACAATCTTTATCCATTTACGCTGTTCAACTGACATGTGCACATGCAATTAGTTTTACTAATGGAAAACAACACAACAAACTTTCATTCTGTAAATCTGTCATTACCTATTCCACTTACTGACTCCTTTAATCCTGCATCAGTCATTGTCTAAATCTCAAAAATAATCTACACAGTCTTAAATCCATTAATGACATAACATTTAATATTGACAGGTTTATTCGAGTGACTCATGCCTTCAGAGACAACATAAAATGTAAAAGCAAGAGGCCACATAAATCTTTAATAGCACTACCTTTTATAGTGCTTTCACCATATCTGAATAATTCATTTCTCCAGTAATAAGCTTTAAATTTTCCAATCATGCGTCCTCTACTGACAATATAAAATGAAGCATGTTGGCAAACATTATTAAAAAATTAATGGTTTCAACTTTGAATAAAAATCTAGATTTAGTCATCAGAAAGCTCTAAAAGATTATCTAACCTTGACATATATCTTAACCGTGATTGTTTAGGATAGAAAATTGTCCAAATAAAGACCACTGTTAGTCTATTACTTTTAGTTATACTATGCAATATTTTAAACTCCAAGTTAATTTGACAATATTCAATAAATATCATAATGGAAAATGATGTCTTGTATAAATCTAAGCTTGTAAATAGGATGAACAAAAATTTTTAATTCATTGATAAGAAATACATTTTTGCAGAATTCTAGCCTTAACATTCATTCCATTCAGAAAACATAATTTTTCACATTTGTACTGACCAATATCAAACTCTTCTTTGTTCTGAACAACATTTAATTAGCATCATGACATGAACAAATGTTGAAGAAACACACCAGAGCATACATCAATGTCAATCATACACAATATCTCCCTCTCTCTGTATTCTCTCAAAAAGTTATAAATAAAATTTGAAAAAAATAATCTAAATCTATGTTCTATAGCTCTTGCTTCTGTTGTCGTAGTTTGTATGCAGCTGGATCATATTTTGGCATGAGTTCCTCTACTGTACGTATGAAGTCTGATTTCTCTGCACATCCTTTACATGCATCACTGCGGTCCCAGTCACTGAGAATTTCCTTCAGCTGCTTCACGCGTAGCTTCTTCAGGTCTATCTCGGCAAGGTTCATCTTCTTTTCTGTAATTAAGTTTACAAAAATTTTAAAATGAAGAAAAAATGTGGCAGTGTATGTAACACACTTCTCTTAAACAAAACAACTGGGTTTGATTTCATTTCATTTCACAAAGATTCCATTAAAAAACAAAAAAATAGGTATTAGGAATAGACTAAAGTCTATATCAGACCTAAGGTGGAAAAATGGATACATAGTTATTATATTACATAATGATATATCATACATTCACTAAAACATGAACAACTGACATCTATGGGTACCACATATAATGAGTTACCTCCCCTATATCTTGTGCATGAAAAACTACTTCAAATATATCTGGTATGTTTGATCATCTAATTATTGGAATGACAGAAAACAAATAATCCAGACAAATTAGACAAAGTGTGGTCTCTCTGTCTGAATGCATGATTTCACTGTTTTCTTTCAGGCGGAGTACTACAAAATGTTGAAATAGTGGTTGACCACCAATGCTAACGCTGAACATCACTAAAAATTTCAAATTTCAATTGGCAAAAAAGTCTTGAAACTTACTTATTTTTATTTCACAAATCTGGGAATCTTTCTTATTCAATGTTTCACAAATCTTTTCTGCTGGTTTATTAAATGACAAAGGTCTTGTGATTTCATTAAGCATGCCTGTAGCTGATGTCTCCAGCCCTCCGATATAATAACACTGAAAATAAACAATTTATTATGTCAATGAATCTTTATGAATATTTTGATATATTAAAGCTGTTTCAAATCTATGTGTTGGATTTTTCTTTGCTTTATTTCTATATTTAAAAATGGGTAATTTCACTAAAGGTATTAGGGCCCACCTTTAGAGGCTATACATGTAAATCTATCAATTTGCAAAGCTGTGATTTTTTTAGGTTCAAACTGCTCGTTATTGATAGTCAAACAGTGCTTATACTCATATTTTATAAGAGGTCATGGAATTTGTTTTGAAAAGCAGAGTTTTTGTGTTGGAAACCTGTAATTATTACAGGGAAAAACACAAATACTTACTAAAAATGATCATATACTTCAGGGTTATTTTTTTGTTGTCTAATAATTAAATACATTTTTAAGTTAATAGTACACTGTGGAAGTTTTTCACCTTTTGACTTCATTGTATATTTTTGAGTTGCACTGAAAACTAGGTCATGTATGAATATTTCAATTTAATATGTTTATGAAATATGTTTAATCATGCATACTTACAATTCTTTCATATTCTTTGGTTGTGGTTTTTTTACAAAAGGCTAATAATTCTGTCTTGATCTTGTCCTTATCTTTGCGTGTATTGTCTGATACAGTTTCATCGAATGCCTTCACAAAGTTCACACATGCTGTAAATGTAAAATAATTACAAATTCAGACGACAGTAGAGTATCGATCTTTAAGAATGACTGAAATCTCAAATAATATTTTACCATAATTAATACTAACAGATGGATTATAATTCTTTAATGTACATGTGCATTTTGCTGCTGGACCACACATGCACACGACAATAGAAAGACCTGCCATGCTCCATCAGCTGAGTGAAAATGACCAATGGATCAGGTTGAAAATTTAAATGCTGATGGTGAATGAGAGACATTTTATGACAAACATGATGTGCATGTATATATTGCTACACAAAGTTTTGTCAATTCTTTTCTCATTTTAGTGAGGCTACCAATGCCATTCGGAGGATCTTGAATGGAAATCTGGGAATCTCAATATTTGTATTGTGTATGGCTGATAATGGAATTTCCACTTGATTTGTTAAATGTACTGTCTCATATAATACAAGTGCCAATGCTAAAATTCTCGACTATAAAACATCATTAAAAGACTTTAAATTTCTATCAGGATTTATTAGGGATGGTAAATTAGTAATGGACACAGGCTTTAAACTCTATTCATATTATATGTATCAAGCAAAATATTACAAGGCAGTTTGCACATAGTATTTCATCATGTAATAGTTGATATACTCAACATCATGAATGTATGATATCAAAATTACACAAAGTGTTTGTATACGGTACAGCCACTACAGGGTCTTAATTCTTCCAATGTTTCAAACTCCATCTAAATGGATTTCAAATTTCTTAATTTCAATTTCACGTTCAAATGATTTTATGTAATACATGTGTATTTCTGGGCTAACTTGAGTGTTTCTGTGATTTAGTGAAGTTACCAGAAGTGGAAGTGCAATCACGTCAATCATTTCAAGTATGTGATTTTGAGATAGTATCTTTGGATATTTCTAGATAAAATATTTGCCTTTCATCAGTCAGTTTTTAAATAAATGTTATAGTATTAAGATATATCCAGTCATTTATGTATTTACTTGCAGGCAGTTTATCAGCTAATGAAAATCATTCTTAAGGGGTCCGAAACTGATACACCAAGTATATAATGTTCACATGTACAAAGTAAGATACTTGAAAGCCCTTATAACTTGTGTATTTTGCAACACCATTTCAATTTCATACATGACCTGGTCAATAGTTCCGTTCTACCAACAGATTCATTCAAAAAATGATTGTTTCTTTTACAAATGAATAGCTAATATACCTTCACAATCTTCTGGTCTGTACTTCGCATTGACGATGACAACACACCACGCGACAACTGTCAGACACACCAACTTCTTCTCCATCGTTCCAATACTTAGAAAAGTGGTTCTGTTGTTGTGAAATTTCTGTTGAATTCTTGATTGTTCAGTATGAAACGACAACAAGTTTCGGTTAAAACGTCTTACGTATGTAAACTTGTTTTTACTATTTTCATACAAAAGACATGTCAAAATGAAACGTGTACGTGAACGACTGTGATGATACCGGTAAGTTACGTGTCCTACAGGAAGCACATGTACATCTGTCGTTCTGTGATTGGTGGAGTAAGTACTTCCGGGTTTTCACGGGTCATATTAGGGGTCATTGATGCGATCTCAAGAGAAACGAGATTTAAAACATGGCAGCCTTCGGTGTACACTTCGGGAATTCTTCAGCATGTTTAGCTGTGTTTAAGGTTAATTATTTTTAACGTTTAATCTGCACTACTATAGTTGAATTCTTATACATCCAACTTTACGAATGATTGGAAGTAACAGTGGTGTAAAAAGTGACATTTTCCCGATCAGCACGTGCACGTGCGAAGGGTTGATGGGTGCATTCGAATTGCACCTATGGAATGTTAGTATAACCTGGCATTGTTAGAACCAGGAAAGTTGCCTACATTCCTTTCTAAGTCTTCAGCAACGAAGACACCACTATTTAGAACCCAGGTTCAGATATCCCCTTGTCAACCTTTCCCCTACTGGAAACAAGGGTCGACCGTGGGCAACATATATAACACGTGTAATTATGCGATCCCTAGCGGAATTATTCTTTTTTTTTCTACATGAACTGCTATTTTACCATAATGCAGCTGGTTCGATACTCAAGGGCCTGTTCCCATTATCACGAGTTTCGTGCAAGACATCAACTGACTGACAAACTCCTAACAAAGGGTTTCAGAAAATACAGGTTAATGAAAATAAAGGGGAAGTTTTATGGACGTCATATATATTCCATTTTTTTGTCCTATATGAAACTGGATGTGTTTAATGATAATTAGTTAAATTTGCCTGTTTGTTTTATTTTTGTATATATGCCTTATTCTAATTTTCAATTTTTGTATATATGCCTTATTCTAATTTGAAAATGTGACATTATTTACTTGGATAGTCCAAGTTATACATGCAGAGTGTCATTGAAACAGAAGATGCTTACTTTTCCAGGACATTATGTATAGTCTTATTCTCCGGGTCCTCTTTCAAGAGTCTGTATTAATCATTCTTTTTGGTATATTCTTGTTTTTTGGGGTTTTCTTGATACATTGTATAACAGAAAATAATTGATTGTAACTTTGGTATTAATTGTTTCTGATGAAATATTGCAGGATGGGAAGACTGATGTGGTGGCCAATGATTTGGGAGACCGAACAACGCCAGCAATGGTGGCTTATACTGAATTAGAACAGGTAAAAACAATGTTGGCGTATATTGAGTTAGAACTGGTGAGGATCATGGTGGCTTAAACTCACTTACAACAAGTAAGGGTTCAGGTGGCTTACACTGAATGAGGACAGACAAGGACCATGGTTGCTTAAACTTAAGTTAAATTAGGTATGAACCATTGTGGTTTAGATTGAATTAAGACAGGTGGGTTACTCTGCAGAATTGGAGCAAGGAAGGGTTCAGGTAGCTTATAGTACACTGATTGACTGATTAAGAACAGGTATCATGGTTTACACTGAATTAAAACAGGTTGTGATCAGGGTTATGATAGCTTATTTAGAATTAAAACAGGTAATAGAACAGTCTTTATTAAACACTGAATTAAGAATGAAAATGCTAAAATTTCCAAACAGTTTTGTTGTTAGTACGTGTGTTTGAAACCTGTCCCTGACACCCTAAAGAACATCTAATTTGTATAAATGTGATTTTTTATTACTTAAATAAAAACATTATATCCACATTCAACCTTATATTTCAGGCAGTAGGCATGGCTGCCAAACAAGCATATATCAGAAATGCTCAGAATACAGTTCCCTGTGTGAAAAAGGTCCTTGGCCGTGCTATGGATGATCCAGAAGTACAGGCATACAAAGATTGTTATGCAGTGAAGGTAAAGGGGAATAACTGTGTTTTATATTGTATACTGTTTCTACAGTGGAAATAAATTAATATTTTGACAACATCATAAACATTTAACAAGGAAGAAAATAGAGGATAGGTTCAAAATTTAAAGATTCCAGGTTGTTAAATCTTCTCAACAGAATGGGAGATTTTGTTTGCCCACATTGTATCAGAATTAATTTCATGAAATATGTTTTAGAAAAAAATTACAAATCAGTTATAAGGATACAATGGATTGTGTTTGTTTACTTATTTGAACCTATTTGTACTAAATTGTATTGAAGAATGGATAAAGAATGCATGATTTTTTCACTTCTGTCTTCATTTGTGAAAGACAAAAATATCAACACCAACTCAAGATTCCTCAACAGTGAGTCAAGCAGGGAGCAGAAGGTATGAGTTTCTCTAACTAAAAACTATGTATCAAAGGACATTTTATTCATGTACAGTTTTTAAAAATCCAGCAAAGCAATTACATTAATGTATGGTTTTCTTTGTTTCTTAATTTGTAGGTTGTACCTCATAAAGGTGAGCCTCATTTTCAAGTGGAATTCAAAGAAAAGACAACACTGGTTAGTCCAGGAACTGTGGCTGAAGCAGTGTTCAAAACTATGATGGGTAAGAGATCATTGACTAGATCTAATATTTGTGCCAGCACTTCTCATTTAACATATAGAAAGATATTTGTAGTCATCACTGTATTCATCCGTCCATAAACGATCATTGTTATGATGATTTCTTGAGAAGTGCTGTATGCACATTTCTCAAATTTCATATGTAGATTCCCTTTGGACCCTAGTTGTGCCTTCTTCATTTTGGGACTAATCAGAAACACAGAATAGCCAACAGGTGATTATCTTGGATTTGACTGTTTAACATTATTATAAAAATTCAGAAGAATTTTCAAAAATTTCCTGTAAGTAAGGGCAAAAACAGGAAAGAAGAGAAAAGAAAGGAAAGATCCTCCATCTCTTAAAGAATAAATAAAGATCAAATGATGGTGGGACTCCCTTTGGGATCTCTTGTTTCAGTTTATAGTTGCTGAAGTCCAGTTAAATGTCTAAACTTCTTACATCAAGAGAAAATTATAACCCCGCAAGAAAATTTGGAGGAGGGGTGGTATATTGGAAGAACCCTGTCTGACTGTCAAGCAGTATTTCTCAATCTAGACATACTACATCCTTATCGCTTTTCGTAAAATTTTGACAACATTTGTTAAGAGTTACACCCTTAAATGTAGATATTCTGTATGGAAGATTTTGTCAATTGTGTCTGATAAAGTACTGAAGCAATATTTCTCAAACTTAGCATCCTGCATCCCTATGATATGATGTGCCCTTTCATTTAAACATGATCAGATGCTACAGCTGATTATAGCCTAGGATTTGACACATCAGGTGTTTCCATGGAAACACTTTGGAGGCTTCTGATTGGTTGAAGTTAAGATGTTATCTAATTAAGTTGAAAATTGGTATAAAAGGTTTAGGGGAATGACAAATACAAGGATAACATTTTTGAAAAAAAAGTTTGGTTGCCATGGTGACCAAATTAAGACCTCTTGGTGGAATCTCATTGGGACAACCCCTCTGAAACTATTGTTGATTGGGGAGGGAGTATATTGTATTATTGAAGGTGCTATGGGAGTACTTTGAACCTCCTACTTCAGATAATCAGTGTATTTGTTTTAATCACACAAACCATTTACTGATTGATTCAGTATGAGGACAAATTTACATCTCTTGTTTGCTAATTAAGAAAGTTTTATTAGTTCTGCTATAAAATTCAACATGACAGAAAAGCTGCTATAAAATTCAACATGACAGAAAAGCTGCTATAAAATTCAACATGACAGAAAAGAATATCTCTGACAAATGAAAATATCTTTCATTAAATGTTCACCAGTGAAATATAAAGAATTAGATAGTGTTATTTTTCACAATAATGGAAGACAACAAGTTTGTGTCAATTTTTACACATAATAGTACAATAGTAGAGGGGCATTCATATTCACCCCAGTTTATATATACATCCGAAACATTAAGTTAATTTTATTTTGAAAATCTTTTAAGTCACAAAACATGACATGCACATTACCTAGACAATTTTTGTTTTTTTGTCTGTTTCTCTGGAACTGTGATTACCCAGTTTTGTTACTTCACATGTTCATTTATCTTGCACAGTACTTACCTGCCATTATTTGTAGGTCAGTGTGACCTATATTTTTTACTTTGTTTGGTTAAACAATTACTTTGGTTAGACTTAACATGAGTATTAGATTCAATTTAAAACTTTTATTTTTTTCATCAGGTATTGCCAAAAGTCATGGGGATGGAGACATACACGACTCTGTGTTAACAGTGCCTACTAATTTTACAGAGGAACAAATAACAGCCATTAGGTGATTAATTTAGCACAGCAATAAACAGCCTGTTATTTTGAGGGAATATTTGTAGGTACCATAGAAATCAAAGTGGAGGGGAGTGTAAGATTAAAAATATTCAAAGCTATCAGAGGGTGAAGACACTTACCTTTGGTAATGTTGTTAATTCTTTCTTTAAAATAATCACCTTTAACTGCCATCAAATATTACTCTCATTGGCTGTCTTCACACTTTAATATAAAAACAGATTTTAAAAGGATCCATTTTTAAAATTGTATTCAAAGTCTGATTGGTGAAGTTATGTTTGTTAGTGATGCTGCAGCTTCAGGAGGGTTCAATATTCTACGAGTGATTAAAGAGCCACTGGCAGCACTCATGGCATATGATATCGGACAGATGGAAAACAAAACAGAGAGGTAATATAAATGTTTAGAAAATTTTAATAATTAAGTACAAAGACATTACTGATGATCGTTAAAAATATTTTTTCTGTCTCTAACAAGAATGCAAGCTTAACTTGGTTCTAAAACTGATATACAGGAAATATTTCCTTGTAAATTGGTCATAATGTAACCAAAGTTTGCTGGAATTATACTCCTTACAAAAGTCTTTATAAACTAAGGTACTTATTAATGTACAATTTTGACATATGTCCATTGGCTTGATCTTATGTATTTGTGTCTGTCAGTATACATGTTGATCATTTACCAATTAGTGTTCAAATTATGCCACACATCTGTCTTACAATGTAACACCAGTACAATCAAATACCATTTCATTTCTTTATGCTTGTCTGCCTATACCCTACCAATAACTGCCCTGTAAAAATTTAATATCAAAAGGGTACAAGAAGGCCAGGAAAATTGATGATAATGAGATAATATCTGTTTACAGTTGTACATTGGTATTCCGCCTCGGTGGAGAGTCGAGCAGTGTCTGTGTAGTCAAGTCGTATAATGGTCTGTACCGCATCATGGGTTCTGTCAACAGTACCCAGTTGTCAGGGTCAAAGTTTACTAAAGCCCTGGCAGACCACTTAGCAGCAGAATTTTACAGGTAACCTACTCTTATAGGTCATTGATTGTTCCTTGGCTCTGGATGTTACCAGGTACATAAAGATTTCATGTGTTACAATTTCACATCTTTAAGATATGATTTGGGAATTTGATGTTACTTTCTCAGTTCAGTTTTAAGTACTTTTCCTGATATTTTGATGGTTCTTACATATGATACTTTCTCCGTAAATCATATTGAATTGTTATCTTTTTATGGCACTTAAAAATCTGGAACAGTCTTATCATACACAAATAATTATTTTGCTATCTGTACAGATTAAATCATCTTACTCCAACTTTACAGTATTTCTATTCTGATATCATTTGATAATGTCAGATTTTACAATTTCATTTGTAATCTTGCTCAACCTTTATTGTTTGTTTGAGTGGTTTTATGTCTGTTTCACTTCTGAGTGATTTAGTTTTTCAAGAGACCTGGCATATTTAATCTTATATGAGAAATGTGGAATTAGAATGAAGAATTACTGATGCAGACATGTTTAAAAGTGTTCTTTGCAGTACTGTTTTCACTTACTTTAAAAGTTTTTTTCTGCCAAGAGTGCTAATGGGTGCGATATTTTATTAAATTATATCAATTTAAATTCAAATAATTTTTCTCTTTAAGGTACCTATATGTTATTACTTTGTTTTAATTTTCATAACGATAACAATAGACAGTGCTTTGCTGTAGGGCGTTGTACTTTTTGATATTTCAGACAGTACAAACTTGACGTGAAGGAGAGTCGGCGGTCATTGAGTAAACTCAGTGTGGCAGCTGAGAGGTGTAAACACACATTGTCTACCCTTGGCAATGCTTCCTGTGCTGTTGATTCTCTGTTTGAGGGTGTAGACTTCCACAACAGTGTATCCAGGTAATCCTCGCTAAAGATGATGTAGTATTCTGCTCAGAAATGTGCCCAATTTCACTTTTAATTATTTCCAGAGAAAATCAATGGACCCTTCTCACCAATATGGATTCTACCTGATGATTAATAGTAATAGAATCACTACCCACGTAGAGTTGAGATGGGATGATCTCAACCCAATGGGAAAGATTCTCAAGCTGTCAAACAGGAGGCTTGATGAGTGATTGCCATCTTAAGAATCTTTCCATGATGGTTAGATCTCCATATGTTATGTTGCATTGTCAGTGCTAGACATTGTTGTCAGGACAATGTGACATCATTGAATTGTTACTGTGTTGTCCTGACAGGGAAATCTTCCCTATCTCCCTTTAGGATATGGCAATTAAATCTCACCTAGTTAAAACATAGATACCTCTATCCTGGGTTAGAGAATATTTTATGTACTTTAATGTAAGGGCGACCTCTATAGATATATCTCTGTAAAATTTTCAATACAGTAAATGATATCTTTAATAATATTGGTTAATTAACAACACAGATAAATTGAGTGGAATTATTAGGTCAGTATTATAAATTTAGAACTTTCTTGACAATATCTGTTCATGTTGAATCCACAGATTTACATTAAAGATAACTGTTTTAAGAAAAATAATAGTAACATGTGTATCCATACCATGGATACCTCTAGAAAGCCATGCATGCTTGTTAAACAGTACAAGATGACCAGACCAAAGCCAGTCACTGACTGTCCACTTGTAGTCAGCTGATCTGGATACAACCATGCTACATCAAATTGGTGGTTTAAGGTCTTCCTGGCCAAGTTTTGCCACAGGAGAAGTATGTCCATCAAACAAATGCAAGCACTCGAGTAAAGATGTATATGTTTGTGAAGGTCAACTACAACAACAATTTATCAGTATCATAATGTTTATTTTACAACAACAATTTATCAGTATCATAGAGATTGTTTATTTTACAACTACAACAACAATTTATCAGTATCATAAAGATTGTTTATTTTACAACTACAGCAGCAATTTTTCAGTATCATAAAGACTGTTTATTTTAGGATAGGTGTTTTCATTTCCGCTACTAAACAGAAACACACCTGTGTAATTGATGAACTTATTTTCATGCAGCACTTAATTTTTTACTGCATATTCAGGGATGATGTGATTTTATTGTTCCTTAAGTAAAGACATTTCCACTAACCTTCAAACATTTCCACTTCCCTTCCCTACAGACACTAGTAATTATAATGTTGTTTTCCACTCTGTCAGTCCATCCATGTATCTGTGAAAATTTGTCAGCACTCTAGCAGCTTCATTCCTTTAGGGATTCTTGTCAAAATATCTTTTACAAGTTTTAGTTTTAGGGTTTTTGAATCAAGGTCAAGGCCAATAACTAGAAATTAGAAAATCATTGTCAGTGCTCTAGTGGCTTTATTCCTTGAAGAATTTTGGAATTTCTCAAAAATGAAATTTCCATACAGTAAAACACATCTTGAATTTTTGCAGGTTTAAAATTTATTGTTAAAGCAAATAAAAGCATTGCACCTGTCTGTTCGAAGTTTTAATGTTCTGATATATTTTTTACATTGCCAGAAGTCATATTCAGCTAATTTTCATAAATTCATGAGTGAAGCATGTATATAACAGGAGGGACCAGTGACCATTCCTATATGGTCAACTGTTTTAGAAATACATGCTATATGAACAAGGCGTTCATAGGTTTCTCTTGGTTAAATGTGGCCATGGAGAGATAATCACACCTGACAAGAATGAAATCCAGCTCAAACTATAAACAGGTGCCTGTTTTCAGTAATGTAGGTAACATTGGCATTTCCCATAATTGAATTACAGATGTGCTATCTGTAACTGAAACAAGTTCAAAGCTAGTAACATGTATGACATAAATCTCAGAGGTTTATTGTGAATAGTGGAAGAAGTAATGAAAGTCCTGTCCGGGAAGGTAGCTTATAACTGTAGCACAACAATGAAACCTCAATGGACCAGCATTGTTGAGATATAAGATTTTACACATTAACCAAATTAGTGTTTGCCAAAAGGAGTGAATGAGACACATAGAGTATGTTACATGATTTTCAATGTAACAAAATTTATTATACAAATTGAGTGATATGACATGACATGAGCCTTTAAGCAGGTGACATATGAAACTATCTAATGAGTTAAGTAAATTCCATGTTACACCGATGTGCACAAGTGTAAGATACTATTTATCATTCAGCCTCTTTTTCTGAAAAAGAAGCAAAAGCTCTCAAATTGATTTACCTTTAAGACTATTTTTGGATGCAGATGTAACATTTTTCTCTACCTTTAAATAGCGATACAAGAAATCATGTGGAGGCGACATATAGTCAAGAGACAGCAAAACAGTTATAGAAATAATAGGTACTACAACACTCTATAAAGGGACATATAGTCTAAAAACAGCTTATTACTTATTGTGTTGCCTGCAGAGCTGGCGGACACTTAGGGATCACTTTGTCCGTCATCACACGTCGACGGTGGCGTCTGCGGTGTCCATAAGAAAGTTTTCCTGACTTTTTTCGGTTATGCTTTAAGTTTTCAAAATTAAATTGAGTATATGGCTTCTTGTTGGAAGGGTACAGATTAAGTTAGATTCCTGGCTGTCTGTAACACTTCTTGGCAGAGTAATGCCTGTTTGAACTTAGAAAATTCTCTGGGAATATTTTTTTCCTGACTTTTGCAGGTTATTCTTTGAGTTATTGAAATGAAATTTGGTATATGGCTTCTTGTTGGAAGGGTACAGATTAGTTTTGACATCCAGTTAGATTTCTGGGTGACCGTGACACTTTATTTTGCGACACATATTCTTTGAGTTATTGAAATGAAATTTGGTATATGGCTTCTTGTTGGAAGGGTACAGATTAGTTTTGACATCCAGTTAGATTTCTGGGTGACCGTGACACTTTATGCATGCGACACATACAGTTCCGAAAAATTTGCTCCCAATTTGCTACTCAATACTAAATCATAATAGTAATAGTGACTATTTCTGTAGATTGTTCCTTCTAAACAAAATTTTAGGATGCATCAACTTACTCTAATTAAATAAAAATTTGATCATTAACTCTTATGTATACCATATAGAGTTAATATGGTGATAGCTATGTGGTATTTAGCTCTGATTGTATTTGTGAGTGATGCATGTATATAACAGGAGGGACCAGTGACCATTCCTATATGGTCAACTGTTTTAGAAATACATGCTATAGGAACAAGGTGTTCATAGGTTTCTCTTGGTTAAATGTGGCCATGGAGAGATAATCACACCTGACAAGAATGAAATCCAGCTCAAACTATAAACAGGTACCTGTTTTCAATAATGGATGTAATATTGGCATTTCCCATAATTGAATTACAGATGTGCTATCTGTAACTGAAACAAGTTCAAAGCTAGTAACATGTATGACATAAATCTCAGAGGTTTATTGTGAATAGTGGAAGAAGTAATGAAAGTCCTGTCCGGGAAGGTAGCTTATAACTGTAGCACAACAATGAAACTTCAATGGACCAGCATTGTTGAGATATAAGATTTTACACATTAACCAAATTAGTGTTTGCCAAAAGGAGTGAATGAGACACATAGAGTATGTTACATGATTTTCAATGTAACAAAATTTATTATACAAATTGAGTGATATGACATGACATGAGCCTTTAAGCAGGTGACATATGAAACTATCTAATGAGTTAAGTAAATTCCATGTTACACCGATGTGCACAAGTGTAAGATACTATTTATCATTCAGCCTCTTTTTCTGAAAAAGAAGCAAAAGCTCTCAAATTGATTTACCTTTAAGACTATTTTTGGATGCAGATGTTACATTTTTCTCTACCTTTAAATAGCGATACAAGAAATCATGTGGAGGCGACATATAGTCAAGAGACAGCAAAACAGTTATAGAAATAATAGGTACTACAACACTCTATAAAGGGACATATAGTCTAAAAACAGCTTATTACTTATTGTGTTGCCTGCAGAGCTGGCGGACACTTAGGGATCACTTTGTCCATCGTCACACGTCGACGGTGGCGTCGGCGGTGTCCATAAGAAAGTTTTCCTGATTTTTTTCGGTTATGCTTTAAGTTTTCAAAATGAAATTGAGTATATGGCTTCTTGTTGGAAGGGTACAGATTAGTTTTGACATCCAGTTAGATTTCTGGGTGACTGACATTTTATGCATGCGACACATACAGTTCCGAAAAACTCGTGTAGAAATAGTAGGTAGTACAACACTCCCAATTTGCTACTCAATACTAAATCATAATAGTAATAGTGACTATTTCTGTAGATTGTTCCTTCTAAACAAAATTTTAGGATGCATCAGTTTACACTAATTAAATAAAAATTTGATTATGACCTCTAACGTGTACCATAATGAGTTAATATGGTGATAGCTATGTGGTATTTAGCTCTGATTGTATTTGTGAGTGATGCATGTATATAACAGGAGGGACCAGTGACCGTTCCTATATGGTCAACTGTTTTAGAAATACATGCTATAGGAACAAGGTGTTCATAGGTTTCTCTTGGTTAAATGTGGCCATGGAGAGATAATCACACCTGACAAGAATGAAATCCAGCTTAAACTTTAAACAGAAATAAGTTTTCTATTAAAGATATATGTTACTTTGTCATTGCCCAAGATTATTTTAGAGTTGTCTCCCTTCGAAATTGCAAGTATGTATGAAGTTGATAATTTTGATAAAATAGATAGTACTTAGGAATTACCTAAAGGGATACAAACTATATCACAAAGGACGGCAACATACCACACAACCTTATCTTCCTACGGAACCAGGTGAGACCCCTGATGCAACAGTGTAAAAGTCTTATTTATGTATGTGAATTGTTATAATGAACTATCCTCTCTGTATTTAGGGTGCGGTTAGAAAACCAGTTGGACCCCTGATGCAACAGTGTAAAAGTGAATTGTTATGAAATGAACTATCTTCTATGTATTTAGGGCACGGTCAGAGAACCACGTTGGGCCCCAGATACAACTGTTTACAAGTCTTATTTATGTATGTGAATTGTTATATTATGAACTATCCTCTTTGTATTTAGGGCGAGGTTAGAGAACCAGGTTGGACCCCTGATGCATCAGTGTACAAGTCTTATAGATGCAGCTTGTAGTGATGCTGAAATAACAACAGACCAAATAGACAAGGCAAGCCTACACAGAACAATACATCCTTATAAGTTAATAAACATGTATATTTTCTTTGTGTGAAATTTGATTCAAACTAATAAAAATCATTTATTTGCTTTATAATCATTTATATTTTTATCAAGTCTTAAAAATCATATTTGTTGGAGATAAAGAGTTATTTCCCTTTTATCAAAGGTTACTCCTGTTTGTGGTGAAAAGCTATATTTTGTTCTTTCTTTTAATTTTCTTAACAGGTGATTGTTTGTGGTGGTGGAGCAAAAATGCCTTTGGTTCAGAAAACAATTAAGGACTATATCAAAACTGCAGAGATTTTAAGCTCCATTCCTCCAGATGAAGTTATAGCGATTGGCTCAGCCAAACAGGTAGGATACTTCTACCAATAATGGCTATCTAGATCAGTATAGGATAGAACTAGAGGCTTGAAGAAGCTGATTCTCCCTTTGTCTGTTTTAGGTTTAGCCAGTTACATTGCCCCCTGAATGTCAGGTAGATAGAATTACTGGGTTGAAGAAGAGTCAGATACTTTTATACATTTATCCTGTTTCACCAACTCTTATAGAGAAACAAATAATGTCACATAGACCATAGTTTCAGTACAGAGTACCTATCTAAACCATACCACTTCACACATATGTAGTCTTGCATTTATAAATAACTACAGATTGAGATTTTGTATAGGATACTATGATCTTTTAATGTATAGCTATGTGTTTGATTTACAATTAACAACACCTGAAATGTTTTTTAAACTTTGAAATAAGTCATAGAGGATGCTTGTTTTTTTTTTTTGGATAGTGAGGATAAACACTGTAGTACTGTATACTGAAAATTTTCCAAAATTTTTGTCATTTTTGCTCAATAAGAACAGGGCTATTTTTAACATGTACTGAAAGATTAACTACTCCTGACCGGAAAAAATTCATATCTGATTTTAGTAAACTTTAAACTGTTCGGAAAAAAGTTTCCTGTTGGTATCACATGTAGTACTGATATGTTTGTAGGCTGGTATTCTCACAGGATGTGATGCAACAGAAAGTAAAGAAAATGCAGAGGATAATGAAATAGAATGCTTGTCAAAGACTGTGTGTCTAAGGGTAAGTTAGGAATGTTTTTTAAACATTGTGCTATCTGCATTGTAAAAGTAAAACGATCTATAGTATGTATTGTTTGATATATTGCAGCATTCACATACAACCATTATGTAACGGTTCCTTTATCTATTACTTATTTCAATAAAAATATCAGATACATCAATTTAAAAAAAAAAACTTGCATGTTCTCTGCAGTGATGATATATATATATATATATATATATATATATTTTGATATCACTTTTAATGTACCAGCTGTGCAGTGATGAATCATGATGTACAAAGTATAAATATTGATGTTGGATTGCATGTACAAGTGTATCTATGAAAACAGTGTTTTCTAATTAGTGCAGATCAGGAAACAGTGAATTAAGAGGTTGCTTTGTTATGCATTTACTACATAGATTGTGCTGTTTACCTATGTACTCAATTAATTGTATTTCTATGTATAGTCTTGCAGCAATGGTGAGACCAGACTGGAATTGGTGTTCCCATCCCTGACCCCACTCCCATCCCGTAAACATGAGACTGTGATGTTGGGCGATCATCAAACATCTTTACAAATGGATCTGTGCGAATGTGATGACCTTCAGCAACCAGACACTGCAGCAGACCTTGCCAAGGTTAGTAAGCACGAAAGTTCAGTGGTAATTTGTCATGATGTCTTGTCTGGATTCTTGAACATAGAACAATGTAAGAATTTGTATTAAAATCATGATTCAAACATAATATCTTTAGCCAGGACATTAAAAATACGAATTTATAAAGCAAAATGGCTTCCAGACTATTGACATTACAATTTGAAATTTTGGGCAGCATTTTGTCCCTGAAACTGTACAAAAATAAACAATATTTTTCCCTTCACAGCTTGTGATGAGAGACTTACCAGAAGCAGCTAAAGTGTTAGTTACCTTCCATCTAAGAAGGTGAGAAACATTAAGTTTAGCAATTATAGAAATAATCATTGGTTATGTTTTGTTAATAGAGAAAATCAAAACCCTTTCCAAATTTGTTTTGATTGAATCCATACATGTTTCATTCTTTGATTACAGTATTAATCAAGTTTTTTTTCTGTAGTAAAAATTGATATTTTCAATAAGAGTAAAAGGAGATTTTGTCTGGGAAAAAGAGCTTTAAACGTATACAACAAGAAAATCCTTAAATTCAAACTTAAAGACTATGAGTAAGCCATTTGATGCTATCTATACGCCAAACACTTACAATGAAATATTTTGATTTGGCTACACAAAAAATACCACCGCTCCTTCAGTAGATTTAGATTTTCTTCAGACCAATTTGTACATTATAGGGAAGGCTCCCTCCATGTGACATGTCGGGAGGAGACATCAAACAAAACCGAGTCTGTCGTTGTTGAGGTATGCAGCTGATGACTGAAGGCCTTAGGATAATAGTGATTAGTACATATTACCATGCATCAGGACCTCATCAGTGAAACAGTCAGAAGGACTTGGCTGATGTTCACAGTACAACAGTTTTATCTGTATGTATAAGATAAACCTTGGATGCCATGCCCTGTTCACTAGTCTGAAAGTTTTACTACTTATTTTGACTGCTTCTGTCAATTCAGGTGTAGTTTACCATCAGTTTTGTGTGATCAGAGGAATGAACAGTTACCAAATATGACTAATTTCCATGACAGCCAACTCATGTGAAGCTCACAAAAAAGGCAGTTATCAAGTCAAAAACATTTGAGTATTTGACTAGAAGATGTAACATGAGAAGGACTGAGAAAGAAGTGGAATTTGTACATCAATATATAATGCTCCATATGATGGCAGGCTTGTAAGGGGCCCACATTGGAGATGAGGGTAGCCTATAGTAATCAGGTTGTCTATCTGTCTGTCTGTCTGTCTGTCCGATTTTGTTTACTTGACACTGTCTTAAGTGATCTTATGTTTTGCCTGTTGTCTGTCTGTCAACTTTCTGTCGGTATCATGTCAATTGTGCCATTTGAATGACGTCTTCTCAATAAGCAAGAAATCCTGAGAAATTTTACAAAAATAAATTACCATGACATATATTCAAGGTCACAGGTGTCAAATTTGTTAACACTTGAAAAGTCTTATTGTTAAGCTAAGGGTTTAGAAGTATATTTAGCAGATTGGATGACTCCTGAATCATTTTTCGAAAAGAAATAGCTTTGACTTAAACTCAGGGTCACAGGGGTTAAAATGTTTACATGAATTCTTTTCACTTATCAAAAGACCCATAAACATGATATTTGGCTGATGGGTTCCGAGGATGAATCTTACAAAGTGTGTGAAAAAAAATTACCTTGAGCCATGTCACAGGGGTCTTTGACACAGTATCTCAGACTTTACCCAATGCCAATTCAAATGAAGTGGAATTGATTTTCTTATCTTGAGGAAAAAGGTCCAGGTCACTGTTACTATAAATAGAAAGTCAATTTGAATTTTTACACTTGGACCTTCTCTATGGCTTCTTCACAGGAATTGTTAACTCTCATTTGTTTTTCATTTTCACTGGCCATAGCTGAAGGTCATTATCATTATAAATAGATATAGAAAGTAAATCACATCTGTATGTTACTTGTTAATAATTTCTTATGATATAATGAAGCCTAATTGACTGGTTCTATGACATCAGGTCAAAGGTCAAGGTTAAATCTGAATTATGGTACTCACAGATATTTTGTTATGACATAGTGAAGCTTTCTTTACTGAAATCAAAGGATATGTTGACAGATCACAGGTCAAAGGCCAAGATTAACGTTGAAATATTTTATTGGTCTATATTTTGTTATGACATTTTGAAGCATGATGAGTTGAAATCAAATGAGAAGTCACCAGATTACAGGTCAAGGTCACCAGGTCAAAGTTTGAGGTCACATTTGAAATATTTATTCATATTTCACAAGCAAACTATTTCATTTATAAAGCAATACACAAAATTTCTACATAAACATGACACTAAGGTTAAGATTTTGACAGGATGCGGGGCCTTTTATGACTTGTGTCAGTACACCAGTTTTCGTAAAGGTGCTAAGATGTAAATGCAGATGACTAGCTGAGAGTAACACTACTTATAGTCAGTGAATAAAATTTTTGACATTTTGAAACATTCTGATAATAAAGTTTTTCTTTTTTACACCTCATTTCCTCTTGAAAATGATCAATAGTGGACAGTGATTTCCTGTATTTAATGTAAAATATTGTGATAATGATCTGAGTGTCTGCTGATTGTGCCACTCATGTAAGTTGTATATGTCTCTCTATGATTACATACATTATGCACAATTATGCAGTATTTGCTGAAAACAAATTCCAAATAAAATATTATTGTCTTATCTGTCTCATATTTCTTACTTTGCTATTGGTTACCATTGTTATGTTTGGTCTGCCTGGAATCTTATTGCAGAGCTTATCAATACAGGCCACAAAAACTTTAGATTTTACTATTAGACATATTGGTTATATCTTGTCATTAAGTAAAAGAACACAAGGTCTTATCATCTTCATTTAAATTACTATTGGTATCAAAGACTATGCTAAACAAATGTCAAGACATTTGAATGTTAAGCTGTTAGATGGAAATTACAATTGGTATCAAACATAATATGGAAAGAACTGTAAAGACTTTGCATAGAAATCATTGTAAAGAAAGCCAGGTGTGAAGTCGTTATACCTATACTTACACTTATCAAACTTTACACAGAAATAATTGTAAAGTAAGCCACGTGTCAAGTCGGTATACCTACACTTACACTTATCAAACTTTACACATAAATGATTGTAAAGAAAGCCACGTGACAAGTCGTTATACCTTTACCCACACTTATCAAGCTTTACACAAATTATTGTAGAGAAAGCCACGTGACAAGTCGTTATACCTATACTTATACTTAACACAGAAATAATTGTAAAGTAAGCCACGTGACAAGTCGTTATACCTATACTTACACTTATCAAACTTTACACAAATCGTTGTAAAGAAAGCCACGTGACAAGTCGCTATACCTATACTTACACTTATCAAACTTTACACAGAAAAAATGTAAAGAAAGCCACGTGTCCTATCATTAGACCTAAAATTACACTTGTCAAATTTTACACAGAAATAATTGTTTAAAAAAAGCTACGTGTCAGGTAATGAGATCTTAAGTATCAAACATAATAAAGAAAGAACTAATTTGTTAGATCTAGATTATAAATAGTTATTCTCAATACGGAAAGAACTAGGACGAAAACCACGTATAAGATCTCGTTAGATTAAGATTAGGTAAAGTATCAACGTCGTAAGATTTTGTTAACCATAATGCCGAATAATCGTAGAAAGCACATGCCCAGTCGTGGTAGATTATTATAGTCATCATTTGTCGAGATTTATCATAGAGAAAAACATTTAGTATGCTATAAATGATATAACTGTACATCTATTTCCCTGTGTATATTGAGTGTGACAGGAGACGCGAACCATGGCGAGGATTATATCAGAAAGTCCGTCCCATCAATCAGAACACTTGTTCGTTACAATGAATGAATCTTTAACGGTTGATTTTGAGTCTCAGTTGGGGAATACTTTTTCTAAAAAATATTGATTGGTGGTACAACAATTATAGAATGTTGTGGGAAATGTCCTCTGTGTTTTTATCTATTTATCAATTATTTAATCAAGTTTTAGAGAGTTTTTAACCATCACTGCTATAAATGGGACCCAATTCTGTTTTCGGCCATCGCTCCCAAATTGTACGGTTTCCCCTTTCTCACCCCTTGAACTTTATCGAGTGTTGTTTTGAAATGCACACAAATCAACAAGCAATGTGCGTCTTACGTTATCGGTGATGGTCTGTAATCACCTGAGAGCCAGCCCATAGTTGTCGCCTGCTCAAATCGACCGCCAAACCTTTGCGTAAGTTATTTTTCTATCATTATCTCGGTTTTCAGTTTTAAAAAAATCACTAGGACTAGTAAATGTGCATTCTTCTCAGACGAGTCAATATAACACCATATTTGATGATAAATTGTTATGGCGCTTATCTATTTCCCGATCATATGTTCAGGACCATATGCTTGTTTACGCATAGCAAAAATCGCTGATCAGAAAAAAAATAATTTTCATTATATTACGAGAGGAGGGCCATTGATCACTTTATATGATCTATTACCGACCGATATCCCTGTTGTGTTGAAAATTTTCGTGTCAAAAAGTATGTTTTTACATATAACACAACTACTTTAACAAAGTCACTCCTTAATAAGATAAAGACCTTTTAAACTTTACGTTATGACAAACGGAAATGGAATGAAAATCATTGTTTAATGACAGGATTCTCATAAGACTTTTGATAAGTCGTTTCTCGTCTAATTTTTAGTGCTATTGTATCAGGACTTTAATAATGCATGAAAAAAGTGTGATGTCTATTCGTTAAATGTGACTAAATCCAGTTGTACAATATTTCCCATGAATGTAACATACTGCATATATCATTCGAATGAGAAAACAAACTTTAAAAGTCTGTATCGATTCCACTGGGAAATTTCGTAAATAGCTGACCATAATTCTACCTCGTTATACTTTATCCGGATTTTAAGTATGCCGCAAGTTGCCACTGATTATTCAGTTTCAAATCCACAGAAAATTCACATTTTCTAAATTGCTTTTTGTGTATGTTTTTTTTTTTTTTTTGCAATATCATAGTTATTTCAATATACTGTTCTTTCATTGTAGAATGTGTGTGGCGATTTATCTCCTGTGTGTAATCGGGCTGACCCGAGCTCAAGAGAGACTCAATGATCTTCAGTTCCGTTCGTTTGGAAATCCGACGTCTGCAACGCAATTGCAAAGATCTGCTCAACAATTTCGGATCCCTACCGCATTTCCAAATGGATTTCATTCACCTAGTATTTCTCCGGCTCTAATTCGACACAATATCGCAGGACCGAATCCGTTTGGAAGAAATAGGAACAGTTTGATGAACTCCAATGGTTTATTGATGATGTTTCCGACCCAGGCTGGTCGCTTGATTCCAGGATTGGCCTTTAATCGTCCAGCACCGTTATCATCTGTCCTTCAAAGACCTGCGTTCCCTTTTACACCACCAAGTGTACATCGACTTAACAGAGGACGTAATGCTATAAGTGAAAATTCAGGACAGCGTTTGGCTGGATTAAACCAAGATCGCCCATCTCTTTCGGGGATGCGCCGACCTAATGGTGTTACTCCCAGAGGGCAAAACGTCGTACCTCAGACAAGACCCTCATCATCGCAACCACGAAATCCTGCAACATCGGACAAGGCAACGCAAAGAATTGTCGACTTTATATTGGGGAAGAAGAGTCAAAACACCAACCAAAACCCTATACAGCCTACTGTAGATACTATAAGTAATGTAGAGATGGCCAAACCACCTCCAAGAAAGTCGGTGTTTCCAAATCCAACAGGACTGTCCACAAATGTCGTAGACATTAATAAAGCATCACCCGAAATCCGTTTTAAATCAAGGACTGACGAGGAAATAAGGCAAGAAGTAGAGGAAAGAATGAGACAGCTTAATGCATTTCTCGCCAGAAATCCAGCAGCCATAGCATCTCCAATCCATAATGTGGTAAACAACCATCATTTACCTCATAACATCCGGCATTATTTCAATAATGTCAATCGCCGTACGGAACGAGTCGACCAAAACACTTTGAACACAAGAGTCATGGAAGCATTCAAAAACCGCGACAAAAGTGGTAAAAAACCAATTGTAGTTGATGGTGGTGTCGCAGAGCAAGTGATGCCTACCATTGTCGTCGATGGAGGTGTTTCATGGAGAAACCAAGGTATTCATCTTGACCAAAACCAGCGACCACGTGCATTTAATCTAGAAACGGACAAAGAGCTTGCCAAGCTCTTTCCAATTCCTCCATCATAAAAATGAAACAAAATTCACAATTATATAATAACCTACGTATCATATTGAACCAAAGCAGGCACTTAAATATATAACAGGAATGCCTGCCTGATTATATCTGCCTCAATTAAAACTTTTCTCATCATTCGACGTCGTTTGTGAAAACTGTTACCATATCTAGACACTCTAAAGTATATAAGATTTGAAATACTAAACAGGTTTTTTTTTGTATTATTAAGATATTACTGTATATTTTGTTTGAATATTAAAGCATATCTATTATGATCAGATGTCATCTGTTCAATTGTATCTATATGTTCAGTCGAAATAAATCGAATATTATTTCTTAAAAAGAATAAATAACGTTAAAGAAAATCATGTCTTAGTATGGAAAACAAAGGGAACGAGCGTATAAATCTAAAAAGTCCCCAATGTTCCACGTCGAATTTACTATCGTATCGTAAGAAAGATGTATACTATTTCTTTGTATAACCATGTTAATGTAAATGGGGTTTTGCGCAAGTCGTGTCGCACCGACACGTGAACAGAATCTTAATTTTTAAAACAGAAGAAAGATTTATAAGGAAGCCTACAACAAATTTCAATGAGAAAAAACCAGGTGTTCTGGAAGGGTATGCGTTTTGCTGATTGGGAAACCAATCCTTATCAAACAACATGTATATTTTTCCATTGAAATAATAACATTACTGATCCATATGAAAATGCAAATTGGGGTTTGTTACTCTTGTGAGCATTTGAGATATTAATATATATATTCAAAATTACTTCTGGTTTTTGTTTGTTTCTCTGAAACGTTATGGCATCTCCTGTCGATTTCAGTTATTTATCGACACCGTGTTCTGATTGATCTGTTTACGACAAACTCTATCAATGAGATATTTGACGTTCATATGACATAAGATATTGAATGAGGGGGACCCACTTCCGAGTTACCTTAACCACATGTCCATGACGGCTGAGTGGTGATCACCTATATGGTGGGTTCAATGGCTGTTTACTGTTATCATCTGATCTCGATCGTTGCGTCGTTTATTGTAACGCTCTGTTGGCCAAGCAATGATTAATGATTGTTTGCCCTGAAGGCTACGTCAGATGTCGTGTTTCTAACTATTAATGCAAGGTTTTTACAACAGCATGTTTTGTATTGAAGTTATTTTAGAAGGTTTTGTGTATTTTTTGTTGTTGTTGTCCCGATGATATGTTGAATATCATCACCATATGTCATTACTATCGAGTGGTGACTTATTATCTGTTTTAATTCTCAGGATGTAAACAATGTATACACATAAATCTGGAAAAAGGATTACTATATGTACGCCGTTCCATAATCACTGCGGTAATTAGAAACATGAGCCTTTCCATCAGGTTTACCGTAGCATATCCTGCTTATGTGGTTATCGAAATTTGATAGTTTGTGAATGTGCCGTATTTGATTGTAGGCGTTAAACTTTTTAATCAGGTGTCATGACGTCATTCTTTCCCTTTGACTTCCTTTTATGCTAATCTACATGTCACATCTTCATTTAATGCAAATGTACCTTTTTAAATTTTGAAATTATCAGATATATGAAGATTACGAGAGTATTGAAATTTCCATCACTCCATCTAGATGTTGACTTTCTTTCGATCAGTTTGGATTTTCCTCAGTCGCCTGTATAATACATTTTAATTTATCATTTGGCTCTTTCCTAAATTTGTATCAGAAGGTGCTATTCAATTATATGTTTGTTGTACAATCATTGAACTTTATAAAATACATGGAATCATTGGGTTGGTGCACCGCCCCATTTATTTCAACAATTTTTTACCCAAGTTGCCTCCTTGGTTTCAACATTTTAGGACCTGACGAGTCCAGAAAGGACGCAACAGCTGTGTGACGCATTATATGGCTGTATTCTATTTTAAACTTTTATTGAACAGTGTTTTTTATTTCTTTAACAATATTTTCCTATTTGTTCCAGTTTGTAATGACTACTGCCGTATTTGTTTTACAGATAAACAAATAAACAGATTGGCACTGTGCTTCCAGTTTATCATAATGGGTTTTTATTACGGTCACAATATATAATTATGACACACTACCTCTGTAGTACCTCTCATGACAAAACATACCTTAATATCACAACATTTCTATCTTATTAATTTGCTTCTTGCACAATTAAGTTTTATTATTACACTTAAGTTTTGTAACTTTCTTAATAATTTTCAGTTCTTTGCAGCAACATTTCTCTAGATATTGTTGAACAATGGAAATTGCTCAATTATTAGCACACAAAGCATGAGTACTGATAAATATTACTTACATCATGGAAAGCAAAAGTAGGATAGAAAGGCACACTTCCATAGTAATTATCATTTGCTGGATCAAACATTTCAAAAACTTCTGAAAGGGAGAGCTGTCCCTTACCAAACCAGTTGCAGTTGTTTTCTTATTCAAATCATAAATAAACTTTCCTTTGTTTAGATAAATCAAAATTTATTTATACCGATACCAAAACATTTGACTGGATACTTATTCTATTGACCCAAGGCCATGTATATGGACATGTTGATTCATCTGCCAGTTTCTATCCTCTACAGAAGTCATCATCCTTTTCGTTTCCATGCTCATAATAATGACGTTGCAATGACCACTCCGCTAAAAGTCATTAATTGTACAATGAATCTCACTCCTTTTTGTCCAGAATGTTAATATTATGGCTTTACATTTGGTTCGGGGTTTTTTTTTCGATTAAATTTATACAATTATGGTTTGTTAAATCTCACCTTTCCGTCCTCGTCTTTCCGAGTTTTATTTTTCTGTATGACCAAAATGACGATCTCAAAATCACTACGGTGAATAATTTCGCCTCTCAATACCTTTCTGGACATCGTCTAGCCGTAAGTTCATTCACGTGCGAGTACATAATCCGCAGCCCTCCAAATAACTCTTGGAAAGATTGAAGTTCAAGTCACCAACTCTCATTCTATAAAGTGTATCTCATAAAGAAACGAAATTACAGATGATATATATATTTTATGAAATAAGTCATATATACAATAATTAAGTGAGATGTATTATATACTATATGAGGTAAGATAACTCATATAGAAATTAAATGAGACATTTTAAACTATATGTGAGTTAGGCATACGAGATATCTAATATATTATATGATATATATTGTATAGTATAAATGGTTTGCCATACTTATTGGCTTACTTCACTATTGAGTGATGACGTAGGTTTAAATCATATCAGTTTGTTTCGACATTGTCATTCTGTGACATTGATTGATATTGTAAAGTTTGTTCTTACAGCTACCGATATTTTATGCTGCGGTATATTCTGTTAATACATTTTGATACTCTAGCATATTTGTTAAAGGTGTGTTGTGCTGTTATAAAATGTACATTTTGACATTAAAATATAGGGATTTCGTCCCTACATGCGGTCATATTTCGTATGTGAAATTCTACAAAAGATACGCAAGTTATTAGCGAACACCTTTTGAGACAAATTCGGACTTAGATACAGTTGGGCTAAAAAGTGAATTAAACGTCATTTTCCAGCTGATTCGTCCTTCTAGAACTCGTCTGTAACGACAAGCTTAAAGCATTGCAACCTAAGAGGCGATTGAGAAATATCGAAGGTGATCGAAAGTTGCACTAGTCTAATGCATCATTGGAATATACCTACCAACACCGTATTACAAGTTATAGATATTTAGACGTGTCTTTTTAATCATATATATATATACACATGTATATCAATTTTAAATAAAACAAGTTTTAAATTGATGTGAGTCATCTATCTTAAATATATCAATTCGACAGTTAAAGGTAAAAACATCACTTTGTGTAAAGTTATTTCACTCGGTGTTAATAATGTTTCAGTCTGTCACGTATCGACATTATTTTAAGAACAAAAAACTTTTTAAAACCATAGGGGTTCTTTCATATCAACTACACTAAGACGTTAATTTTTTGTATATGATTTTTGCACGAAAAGAAAGCAGGCGTTCATCATACAAGACGTTTATTTTATTACTGTGATATAGTCGACGATAAAACGGTCATAACCAACCTTACACAAAATATTGTCTAGATGTCTCTGTGAAAGTAAAAGGATACATGGATCAGATAACCATGAAACAAATATATTAAGAAAGGATAGGGAAAACATGCGTGTGGTTACTTATTCCTATGATAATTTTTTTTTTCGTTGAGGCAAAAAGATACACAAACAACAAGATAGTACTTACAGAAATGTCAACAAAACAGTCATATCGAAGAAACATGGACAACATTTAAAAAAGGAAAAATTTAGATGCGGAAAAAAGAACATGGAAAACACGACCAGTTGTTCGAGGAGGGTACGCGTCTTCTTCTTCATGGACGACACTCGTCATAAAAATTTGGGAAAATCCAAGATAAAGTAACGCAGATGAAAATTAAATTTGTAACGATGGAAAAATGATGTTTTCAAATTGGCAACTCTATATTGGCAATAACTGGAACTCGCATATCTGGAATTTCTTGGTCCTGTGCTCAATTTTAAATAATGCCATGATAGCCATGATAATAAAGTATACTTATTCATTAGTACACATTCCAATTGTTCTTGAACCAACTGGGTGTTAGTAGTTATCTTTTGGTGTCATGCTGTAATGATACCGAACATAAATTCTAATCTATCACTTGTACATTTAACAAATCTGACCACAGATGAGGTCTTTGGAGGGCTAATTCATCGATGTTTGAAAATCATCATCATTTATATGTTAAGTGATACCGCCAAGGGATAGGCTGAAGGACATCACTTTATAGTTTTAGAAAAGTAAGAGAAGATTCATCAATTTTTACTGATTGACTTTGCTCTCTGCAGATGGCTCTGTTTTTTTAACCTTCTGATCAAAACAGTCTGCTTCTACAAGTCGGTACTTCACATGTTGTGAAAATTCTCATTCCGACAGTTTCTGATTATATGTAGTCACAATCTTAGGATATCCTTAATTATATCAATACAAGATTGTTATTCTTGGAGAATTCTACAAGAATTCAAATGCTGAAGACGTCAACAAAACGACTTAAAGATTACTTTTTTAGTAATTGTTCGGTCAATGTTAGCCTGTAGATCTGAGTGTTTGCCCTAACCAGGATCTCTTTGTGCGATTTGAAGCTAGACGTGTTTGATGTTCATTGTCTTGCATGTTGGTTCCGTTGTTGTATACCTTGTTCTTATGTTCTTGAGAACGTGACATTACATACCTGGATCGATCAAGGTTTACATGTAGGGTGTGGTTGATGAAGCACCTGGTCTTATTCTCTTTGTACTGTTTCAGGAGTTTCCGTGTAAATCTTTCATTTGTTCATATTTGCCCTGGTTTTATTGTGTTTGGATAATGATGATGTTCACATGTTGGTATGTTCTTATTGTTTTTATATTAGCTACCAGAACCTCTAACTCTGACAGGACGTCTTGCACAACACGACAAATGTCTAATTTTTCGTCTTTTGTGAACCGTTGGTGCTTGTCTATGTTTTTTCTCTCTCTGAATTTAGCTGCTCCCTTCTTTGTACAAAATGCAGCCAAAAGGTAGAGTTATGCACACAATGACCATGCTATTGTAACATCTAACGCTGTGACTCAAAGCTGACTGAACATGTGAATAGAGTGTATGTCAGTAAGGTCAAACATCTCTCATTATAGATGTATCATACAAAAAAGTTGTTTACAACTACAATTTAAGTACAGTACATTGATGAGGCATACGACTTTCTGACCGCTATTGAAGCATCACAGCCCTTGATGGTAAAGGTCACTTGTTTCATTCAATTAGAACTGCACGTTTGATCAACCAAATGGACAAATGTTAGACTATCAGTCGTTCTTGTCTAGTGGTATTCTGGGTGTTGCGGGTATATAAACAATATACACCTCATTCTCCTACTCCAGAAGGGCTAATGGCACAAACTCATAGGTAAGTTCAGGCGTTTACTGAAAACAACATCTATTCATGTTTATAAACAAATCTCGAACATATTTCGATCTATTTTAAGATTCCGTATGACATTGACCATGATGTTTATCATGTAACATTTATTGAATATTTAAATAATCGGAACTTTCTTAGTTTTTTGTTTATTAACGATGTTTACCTGGCATTAACATTACGCTAAATTAGATCTGATGACATAGGCTAATCTAATTGTTCCGCGTGAAAATATATCGTTTAAAATTTCAAAGGATATTTATTTTATTTTATTTATTTTTTTATATCTTTAATGTATTTTCTGTCACTGCAAAATACCGTAAAATAAAAACATGCGCGCACGTTCGTTCTGACAATTATTGATGTACTCTTGAAGATCTACAATTTTTTCAATCTAGTTCCTTCACCATATTTTGAATTTTTGGTTCTACAGCTGGACTTTCTGATATTTTCAATATGGAAATACCATGACTTTCTGAAATTGACAGGGGTAGTTCATTGCTTTACAGCTGCGTAATACACCGAAAATTTAGGCTGTCAATCAACATGGATTTTATCGATCCATTACTCCTCCAAAGACCATGGCGTGTCCCAGAAGGTTTCGAATTGTTCTCAAAGCAGTAGTCTTTGTTCAACAACGCGACCGCAAGTTATGGCAAAACCGCTTCTAAATGGACATGTCAACAATAAAGGAGATCAAAGGTGTCATCTTGTGTTAGGCAAATGCAAGAGCTCTGAGCTCAGCAAGTAAGCCGCTTCTAATTGTAACTCGTTCTAGGATGAGTCAAGGTTTTAGCGTTCTGAAGACCCAGGCGACCTTGTGCTTATATCGGTGTCCACAAACGCATTTAAGATACTTGTGTTATACCGAATTGTCGTACTGTGATCGGTCATTATACACTAAAGATTTTCGCATAGTATTGTGATCAATGTGGTCTTTGTCGAATTGTCAATACCGTTTATATAGACCATATTCAAGCAATACAAGAAGATATTTTACTAGGAAAGCATCAACAACACGCCTTGCCACATACTTGTGACTTTGCTATAGGTTTCAAACGGCAAGGTTACCAGATTAGAATGAGATGGAGACCGAAACTTCTGACGAACGTCTCTCGTATAGCGGTGGGTAAACAAGATAATAGTTTGTCAAGGCGAATAGTAACATTAAAGTGCATAAAGGAGTTTGTGCTTATAGTGCATCTCCTCAAGGTATGCAAGATATTAATGTGTGACACAGAAAATTAATTGGCAATCCAAACTTGTTTTCTGAACATAACAATAGAATTATTACATAAGTTGAATATGTTACTTTAACAAACTGTAGTTGACTGGTATATTAAGAAGTGTGTTCCGTTTTCTTTTGTGTGTGTATGCCATAACTTAATTTTCCTGAGAGTGTTTTGTACAATCTAAAAGAGAGATGCAATATCGTTAGATGTGTAGAAAGAACATATAAAACAAAAAGAAAAGATAAATGAGAGTAAAAGATATTTAATTGAGGACATTAACTAGATATGTAATTTAAATATCGTTGACAACATAGCCATACAGCTCTTAGGTGTTTTCCATGATAATGGTGCTTTTCGGTCACGGTGGTTTATCTAGAATTCTTAAAGACCATGTTGCAATTTAGCCTTATGTTTATTCATTTCTGATAATTGCATTATTTCAATCTGTTTTAGGATAATCATCATGGAAAAAAGAAAAAGGTCGATTAAATTTCTTTGTATCATCGGGTATTTGCAAAGCGTAGTTTCATCTGTGAATGCGTTACCGCCCGCGGTGGAACAACCCAATGACCCAGGAACAAACATTTTACCTATAACGCCCCCCAAAACAGCCGACGTGACCAATAGCGTTTTCAGCCTCACAGCCAGTTCTGAAGGCACACGTTCAGTAAATTCTGACCCAAATTTTGCGAGCGCAGAAAAAATGATCAACAATGCCATAAATCCCCAAGTGTCCAATGAGGCTACAAAATTCATCGCAGCTGACGAAACACCTCTCGCATTTCGCCGATTTCGCGCGGAATTGTCATCTTCACAGTCTACCAACTCGAATATCGGAGATGGGTCGAAAAGTGTGTCCTCAATAACAACAACACAGGGCAACACAGATATCGATCGAGCAACATCAACGGCTAATAATGGAAGAGCGTTAGGAGGATTCATTGCAACTGTTGCGTCACCTCCTTCACAGATATCAAGTGGAGTTCAGTTTATGCCTTCAGCAATGAGATATGCCATACGACCACCAGGAGTGCAATTTTCAACGCTTGACTTGACCGGTTTGTCATCGCGTCCGCCTATACTGTCGTATATACCTTCTGCTTCATTTTCTGCTCCTGTTGCACAGTCGAACTCCATCCGCTTACTTCCTAAAACGTTCCGTACATTTTATCAAAATACACCGACATCCCCAATCCTGCCTTTTGTTGGTTCTAATTCTGGATTATCGTCTTTGTCTTTTCCACCAACACCTATGGAAGTGCCGCCAATTTCATCTTTCTCTTCTCCTATCCCGATTCACCAGCAGCAGCAGCGACAACAACAAATTTCTTCAGTGCCAACAGTAACTGTTTCTGAATCCCCTAGTGTAACCTTTTCTTCTGCACCTATTTCAACATCTGTAAGTCCTTCTATTCCATCCAGCCAAATCTCCTATGCTCCCAAACCACCTCTCACTAGTCTCACGACAGTCAATATGATACCTGGTCCACCGAAGACCGTATTTCAATCACCACCTCCACCTCAAACGACTGTTACAACATTTGCTAACTCTCCGGGTCCTTCTCCACAGACCATGCAACTACAACCATTTCGGCCTCTAGCAACTGTAACAGCATCCTCTGACACTATACCTCCTCCATCGCAGACCATACAATTTCAATCACCACCTCAAACGACTGTTACAACATTTCCTAACTCTCCAGGTCCTTCTCCACCGGCCGTACAGCGACGAACATTTCGTCCTCAAACGACTCTTACAGCATTTGCTAACTATCCAGGTCCTTCCCCACAGGCCATACAACTACAACCAATTCGGCCTCTAGCAACTGTTACAGCATCCTCTGACACTCTTCCTCCTCCTACGCATACCGTACAATTTCAATCACCACCTCCACCTCAAACGACTATTACAACATTTCTTAACTCTCCAGGTCCTTCTCCACCAGCCATACAAACACTTCATCCTCAAGCGACTGTAACAACATTCTCTAACACTCCACTTCCTCCTCCTCCAACCATACAATTACAGTCATCACCTCCAACTGCGATTGAGACACCAGTGCAAGCATCTACAGTAATGACGCCTCAACCCCCAATAAACATTGCTCCATTGTCTTCGATGGGCGTAGGTCCTTCATCCGTACCATCCTTTACATCAATTCCTTTATATCACACAGCAGTACAAGCCCCAGGTATTGCGCCGCTTTCATTCCCATTGGCTTCAGGCACACAAAATATTTTTGGAGTAGGTATGTCACCCCCTTTCGTTGGTCAAGAAGGCGGTTTTGGTACCAACTTTGGAAGTGTGGGAATAGGAGGAGGAGGAGCAGGCGGAGGAGAAATTATGGGAACAAATTCCGGCACTCTACCAGCCGCAGTCTCTTCAATATCTCGGTCATTCAATGAGTTCTTGTCACCAATCATGTCAGCGTTTGAGGTATGCTTAAATGTTGGCACCAAAGATCTCTCTTTAACATGTCAAAAATATACTAGTAAGATTTCGTCTGAATAATTCTTACTACAAATGATACGTTACGATACAATAAAGTGTAGGTAGTGATGGTTCTCGTGTAGATAACTGTTATAGTTAAGGTGTAGTAAGTGATTCTAAACATGTAAATCACTATTATCTAAGATATCATATAGTGTATTTAGAGGTGGTTCACGTGTTAATAACAATTGTGGAAGTGCGATACATTATATATTAACGTAACGGTCATTTATCTAGAAAATATACATTAACAATATGTCATACAACACCCGGTATTAAAAGGAATAGCCCTTAAAGAAATAGTATAGCTTATCCTTGCTGTTCATATAGGAGAGACGTCATGGCAGTGTCTTCGAACAGTCCTACGTTCTCAGTTGTCTGCCACTTGAATTTCATTATCATTATGAGATTGCCGTCTTGTTTAGATATTTGCGATATTCGATTAGATCTATTTTATATGAGAACATGTCATTACTTATTTCTGATCAAGATATACAACATAGATATCGTCCATGAAGTAAAAGACGCTTTACCTTTCGGAACCTGCTCTTATTCTCCTTTTACTATCAAAAAGACCTACAAATCATATGTTTGCGTATGCCTCATTGATTATGAGTTTGAATGAAGATTTCTTTAACATACCTGTATTTTCTTCTTGTTTTAAAACCATGTTTTGGTATATTTTATGTGTATGTCTGATATCTTTTATTCATTCAATTTTCAGGCATTTTAACGAAGAAGTTCTCCTGGGCTACGTGTTTGATTAATTGTTACATGAATTTGTTATACTGTATTTTCTTATTCTGTAATACACGAAGTAATTTATGCATTAACTTGTTTTGTTGGTTATTCTGAGTATATATACTTTTATAGACAGTAATTTTTTTTGACGAAATGAGGCAAGCACATAGCCTAAGAAACCTTAACAAACAAATAACTGACGAAACGAAAAAAAAATCAAGATCTGATACATACTTGTACCAAAGGAACTTCGAAGTCAATGTTGTATAAACAATAGGTTTTGTTTCCATCGATGCAAGAATATAGATATTCAAAATGCTGCTTCTCCATTCAAAAGCTCGTATTCGTAATAATGATGGTTAATCCCAACAAGGAAAAGAGAGGTAAATATATATAAAAAAAACTTCATATGGACTTTATTCATTCTTCTGAAATACTATTGTATTTCACCATCACAGACGACAATATGTATATGTAATCTCAGTTACTTTGACACAAATAACATGACATCTCTACCTCAGCGAGCCCAATCGTTATCGAATTGTGTAAATGTATTCATACGTTCTGTATGTGGAGTGTTGTAATGCAGTGAGAAATTCATAGATAAAACCAATGCGATTCGTAAATACGTTCGGGAGGTAAAGTTTTGGTGCAATGTTGAAAGGAATAATAAAACATATGAATACAGTTTTAATGCAATGAGCAATGATAAACTGTTCTGAGAGAATAATGCGATTTATTAAATTCCTTAGGGATGTTACCTTCGATAGATTGACAGAATTCGTTGAATGGATATACTGTGAATCTAACGTTTGAAACCACTAAAAACTGATACTGTAAGATCATTCATTTTCTTTTATTTTTTGTTCATTCGTGAAAACCTTTAATCAACAAATTTATATCTCGACAAGCTGTTAAAATTAGTATAATCAGGTGTATTGATCTAGATTTATTCGGGATATCAGGTGTACACGAAAGAGTATATTAGAAAGAAAATAAATCATGAAAATTGAGCCCCATGGAAACCCCCCGATTTTACAGTATTCCACAACGTACTTTAATTAATGAACGCGATTGAGAAATCAAATCAACATGTCGAAATTTCAAACCCAATATTGTTTCAATGGGTTGTGAGAATGCCATTTTTTCGCGGGTATAAGAACAATGAAAATATCTATACTTTGGAGTGATACCATATGGATCTTGATGAAGTGGTACAGCCAGTTAGCTACCAAGTCATGTGATTTATCACACCAGTACAATGGACATCACTACAACGACACGAGAGAATACTTTCTGATGGAACTCATCGCATATTAAAAACAAAACAATAGATGGAAACATGAATATTTTCAAAAAAGCTTGAGTGATATATTTATGCTACCAATAAATTAATTTTACTTGTTTTTTTTTTAAATACAACAAATAAAGTGTGAAATAATAAGCAGTTTTTTTTTATAGCTTTTTGAGATAGTGGTAGTGAGGTAGTGAGCACGAATGGTGGACTGTAGTCCCGAGAATATAATTTCATTTAACACTTAAATCCGTAGCGTCACACCGATTAACGGTACTCTTCAATATATACATATTTACAATACATTATTTTCAGAAATTCACTAAATTTTGGATTTTAGGAAATTTAACGAAAAAAAACGTTATGCGCCTCTCTATGATAAATCCTTTGTTTCGGAATAACGGTGTAAGTGCCAGCCGACATTTTATCCTCACGTTTGCCCTCTCGGTTTCCATATCTTGGGCATCGACACGAAAGCCCGGAAGGACGAAACAGTTGTATGTTTTTTTCATATACTATATCCGAAACTATGTTAACAATTTAAAACCACTTTTATCTGATATTCTAATTCATTTTTCATTATTTTTATATATAAAAATTCGTGCTTTTCTTTACATTTCTTGATGAAAAAATCATCCAGCTCCATGCACATGATGATGACTGGAGGAGTCAATGGCAACCTTCCGACGATTCTGCTGGAATGCTCCTTTTTTGTGTTAATAGAATATCTGTCCACACATGCACATAGTGTGTAGATCACTGTCATTCAATAATGTGAACAAAAAAGGACTACAATAAAATATTAAGATACTTCACAATTCACACAAAAATTAACAATTAGTAAAGGATTTATCGAAAGGGAGAGGGGGGTCTGTTATTCCATTTTATTGTTATTTTTTTGTTTGTTTGTTTTTTTTTTTTTGTTTTTTTTTACATATTTTAAACTGAAAGCAATATTACACCACCTGATTAAAATGTCGTCTGCTGATGAATTTTGTGTCCGACTTACTATCAAAGGATGGATTTTAATCTTCGTAGTGTCGTTGGCTTTGATACCGAAAATTATTGTCTGAAAAGTGAATTAGATGAGAATCTAGCAGACATCAGCTGCATCTTATCTCTTCAATCAGGATCAGGGAGGAATGCAAGCCAAGTTGCTAATCGAATTCATTTTTTTTCTTTCATTATCAGCATAAAACTAAGATTATTCCTATCGAAGCTTAATCCATGATAGGAATATCCTTTTAGGAAAAGAATATTAGCAGTAGAATCTAATGATTTATTCTTGATTTGAAAACAACTGAACGATTTACATAATTACTTTATTATTGATTCTATTACCTATTCTGCTAAATCTTTATCCGGGTGTGTTATTACCATTATAATCATGATTGCAGTCTTATTGCAATTCTGTTTAGTCTAGAAGTTAAAAACAAAACAATGTGTGTTTTAATTTTTCCGCTTTGTATATTCATATTTCATCAAATATATTTATTACATTTTTGCCAATGAAAATAGAGAAATATCACCTCGACAAATGCTAATTTGCAGACTTACACCAATGAATAGAGAGAATACAGATTATCTTGTAAAACTGACAGAAAGCAGGATACAAAATAACACAAAAAAGGGACCGCGGTTGTTAACTAATATTTCCATGGTTAACTTTTATTTCCATGGAAGTCAGCGAACAATGAATACCAATAACTCAAAATACCTTACCAAAGGTCCAACCCAATCCCTAACTATATGTCGGAAGAGTTTGACATTTCAAGAGGATTAATATCATTGACAACGATTACCAAATTTGCCACCATATTCTCAGTCGCGTAGTAACTTGTCACGGAACATTATTGTTAAACTCTCTCTGAATGATTTAGGGCAAATCTTGTCTGTAGATGCATAGAGAAGAGACGGTTTCTATGTGAAGATAAAATTTTCTTAACATTAAGATTATATTCTGTGTTGATATATTTTACTGGTTTTTTAACGGACTACATTTTGTCGCGTACTGCGAAGTTATAATGAGTGAGTAAATGCAAAGTCTACCCTATGAATACCAGTATTTAGACCAGGAACACCTTTAGATCGGGAGTCGTAAAAAATTCAAAAATCACTGACACCAGACGACTCCCACCCCTAGAGGGGAGCACCCCCCTCTCGTCGCCCGAAAATCGACATGCGTCGATTGAAACAACGCTCGTAGCCGGGAGTTGTGATGGAGAAGATAATAATCAACCAACAATATTTTGCATGTGAAAAAGTAATCAAAAATATTATTTCCAGTAAAAATGCACTTGTGTGTTTAATACTTTTTGTAATATTGAAATATATTAGACACATTTGTGAATTTTTGGTTATCACTGAAGACACTATTAAATGTCCTCTATTAATTAATGGGATACCTTCTTCGGCAAAGGAATGAAAACAATGGAACATATATACGGTTATGAACTCTACTGGAACTTATTCCATGAAAAGTGAATGCTAAGACGAAATATGCTAAGAATACCTGTGTAACATCTTCGTCGATGCTGGTGTTAAAAGACTATTAGCATACTTATAACTAATATTGCTATCTTTTGTCGTCTTGTTTTCATGTTCGCATTCATCCAAGCGCTTACAAATAAAGATACCGAGAGGAAGTATTACATAGTCCAATGATTAAACGTGGGCGCATAAAATCCTCCATCATCACCTGTCACAAGTCATTATTTCTTTTGTTGCTCGGTTTCACGACAACGTAAACGTGGTGAATAAACAATGTGCTAATTAGTTAGTTTGTTTATTTGTTCCAATGGTTATGATTAATTACTGCTAATAACTAGCCCATGACAAAGGTAACAATGCCGCCTTATGAGGACGCTTTATCAATACAATATATACATTTACAGTGTACGTTGATTATTGAGACCAATTCCATTTCTAAGTCTGTTTCTATTTTTTGGCTACACTGTATTCAGCTCTAAATTTGTACTTAAAAGAT